ACTTCAATGCCTCCTGCACTTCAATGCCTGCCTGCACTTCAATGCCTGCCTTCACTTCAATGCCTGCCTGCACTTCAATGCCTGCCTGCACTTCAATGCCTGCCTGCACTTCAATGCCTGCTGCACTTCAATGCCTGCATGCACTTCAATGCCTGCCTGCACTTTCAATGCATGCCCTGCACTTCAATGCCTGCCTGCACTTCAATGCCTGCTCGCACTTCAATGCTGCATGCACTTCAATGCCTGCATGCACTTCAATGCCATGCCTGCACTTCAATGCCTGCCTGCACTTCAATGCCTGCCTGCACTTCAATGCCTTGCCTGCACTTCAATGCCTGCATGCACTTCATGCCCTGCATGCACTTCAATGCATTGCCTGCACTTCAATGCCTTGCCCTGCACGTCAATGCCTGCCTGTCACTATCAATGCCTGCATGCACTTCAATGACTGCATGCACTTCAATGCCTGCATGCACTTCAATGCCTGCCTGCACTTCAATGCCTGCATGCACTTCAATGCCTGCCGGCACTTCAATGCACTGCATGCACTTCAATGCCTGCATGCACTTCAATGCCTGCCATGCACTTCAATGCCTGCATGCACTTCCAATGCCTGCCCTGCACTTCAATGCCTGCCTGCACTTCCAATGCCTGCCTGCACTTCAATGCCTGCCTGCACTTCAATGCCCTGCATGGCACCTTCAAATGCCTGCATGCACTTCAATGCCTGCATGCACTTCAATGCCTGCATGCCTTCAATGCACTGCCTGCACGTTCAATGCCTGCATGCACTTCAATGCCTTGCCTGCACTTCAATGCCTGCCTGCACTTCAATGCCTGCCTGCACTTCAATGCCTGCCTGCACTTCAATTGCCTGCCATGCACTTCAATGCCTGCCATGCCACTTCAATGCCTTGCATGCACTTCAAGGCCTGCCTGCACTTCAATGCCTGCCATGCACTTGCCTGCCATGCACGTTCAATGCCTGCCTGCACTTCAATGCCTGCCTGCACTTCAATGCCTGCATGCACTTCAATGCCTGCATGCACTTCAATGCCTGCCTGCACTTCAATGCCTGCCTGCACTTCAATGCCTGCCTGCACTTCAATGCCTGCCTGCACTTCAATGCCTGCCTGCACTTCAATGCCTGCCTGCACTTCAATGCCTGCCTGCACTTCAATGCCTGCCTGCACTTCAATGCCTGCCTGCACTTCAATGCCTGCCTGCACTTCAATGCCTGCCTGCACTTCAATGCCTGCATGCACTTCAATGCCTGCCTGCACTTCAATGCCTGCCTGCACTTCAATGCCTGCATGCACTTCAATGCCTGCCTGCACTTCAATGCCTGCCTGCACTTCAATGCCTGCCTGCACTTCAATGCCTGCCTGCACTTCAATGCCTGCCTGCACTTCAATGCCTGCCTGCACTTCAATGCCTGCCTGCACTTCAATGCCTGCCTGCACTTCAATGCCTGCCTGCACTTCAATGCCTGCCTGCACTTCAATGCCTGCCTGCCCTTCAATGCCTGCCTGCACTTCAATGCCTGCCTGCACTTCAATGCCTGCCTGCACTTCCAATGCCTGCCTGCACTTCAATGCCTGTGCACTCAATTTGCCTGCCTGCACTTCAATGCCTGCCTGCACTTCAATGCCTGCCTGCACTTCAATGCCTGCCTGCACTTCAATGCCTGCCTGCACTTCAATGCCTGCCTGCACTTCAATGCTGCCTGCACTTCAATGCCTGCCTGCACTTCAATGCCTGCCTGCACTTTCAATGCCTGCCTGCACTTCAATGCCTGCCTGCACTTCAATGCCTGCCTGCACTTCAATGCCGCCTGCACGTCAATGCTGCCTGCACTTCAATGCCTGCATGCACCTTCAATGCCTGCTGCACTTCAATGCCTGCCTGCACTTCAATGCCTGCCTGCACTTCAATGCCTGCCTGCACTTCAATGCCTGCCTGCACTTCAATGCCTGCCTGCACTTCAATGCCTGCATGCACTTCAATGCCTGCCTGCACTTCAATGCCTGCCTGCACTTCAATGCCTGCCTGCACTTCAATGCCTGCTGCACTTCAATGCCTGCCTGCCACTTCAATGCCTGCCTGCACTTCAATGGCCTGCCTGCACTTCAATGCCTGCCTGCACCTGCACTTCAATGCCTGCCTGCACTTCAATGCCTGCCTGCACTTCAATGCCTGCCTGCACTTCAATGCCTGCCTGCACTTCAATGCCTGCCTGCACTTCAATGCCTGCCTGCACTTCAATGCCTGCCTGCACTTCAATGCCTGCCTGCACTTCAATGCCTGCATGCACTTCAATGCCTGCCTGCACTTCAATGCCTGCCTGCACTTCAATGCCTGCCTGCACTTCAATGCCTGCCTGCACTTCAATGCCTGCCTGCACTTCAATGCCTGCCTGCACTTCAATGCCTGCCTGCACTTCAATGCCTGCCTGCACTTCAATGCCTGCCTTGCACTTCAATGCCTGCCTGCACTTCAATGCCTGCCTGCACTTCAATGCCTGCCTGCACTTCAATGCCTGCCTGCACTTCAATGCCTGCCTGCACTTCAATGCCTGCCTGCACTTCAATGCCTGCCTGCACTTCAATGCCTGCATGCACTTCAATGCCTGCCTGCACTTCAATGCCTGCCTGCACTTCAATGCCTGCCTGCACTTCAATGCCTGCCTGCACTTCAATGCCTGCCTGCACTTCAATGCCTGCCTGCACTTCAATGCCTGCCTGCACTTCAATGCCTGCCTGCACTTCAATGCCTGCATGCCACTTCAATGCCTGCCTGCACTTCAATGCCTGCCTGCACTTCAATGCCTGCCTGCACTTCAATGCCTGCCTGCACTTCAATGCCTGCCTGCACTTCAATGCCTGCCTGCACTTCAATGCCTGCCTGCACTTCAATGCCTGCCTGCACTTCAATGCCTGCCTGCACTTCAATGCCTGCCTGCACTTCAATGCCTGCCTGCACTTCAATGCCTGCTGCACTTCAATGCCTGCATGCACTTCAATGCCTGCCTGCACTTCAATTGCCTGCCTGCACTTCAATGCCTGCCTGCACTTCAATGCCTGCCTGCACTTCAATGCCTGCCTGCACTTCAATGCCTGCCTGCACTTCAATGGCCTGCCCTGCACTTCAATGCCTGCATGCACTTCAATGCCTGCCTGCACTTCAATGCCTGCCTGCACTTCAATGCCTGCCTGCACTTCAATGCCTGCCTGCACTTCAATGCCTGCCTGCACTTCAATGCCTGCCTGCACTTCAATGCCTGCCTGCACGTTCAATGCCTGCCATGCACTTCAATGCCTGCCTGCACTTCAATGCCTGCATGCACTTCAATGCCTGCCTGCACTTCAATGCCTGCCTGCACTTCAATGCCTGCCTGCACTTCAATGCCTGCCTGCACTTCAATGCCTGCCTGCACTTCAATGCCTGCATGCACTTCAATGCCTGCCTGCACTTCAATGCCTGCCTGCACTTCAATGCCTGCCTGCACTTCAATGCCTGCCTGCACTTCAATGCCTGCCTGCACTTCAATGCCTGCCTGCACTTCAATGCCTGCCTGCACTTCAATGCCTGCCTGCACTTCAATGCCTGCCTGCACTTCAATGCCTGCCTGCACTTCAATGCCTGCCTGCACTTCAATGCCTGCCTGCACTTCAATGCCTGCCTGCACTTCAATGCCTGCCTGCACTTCAATGCCTGCATGCACTTCAATGCCTGCCTGCACTTCAATGCCTGCCTGCACTTCAATGCCTGCCTGCACTTTCAATGCCTGCCTGCACTTCAATGCCTGCCTGCACTTCAATGCTGCCTGCACTTCAATGCCTGCCTGCACTTCAATGCCTGCCTGCACTTCAATGCCTGCCTGCACTTCAATGCCTGCCTGCACTTCAATGCCTGCCTGCACTTCAATGCCTGCCTGCACTTCAATGCCTGCCTGCACTTCAATGCCTGCCTGCACTTCAATGCCTGCCTGCACTTCAATGCCTGCCTGCACTTCAATGCCTGCCTGCACTTCAATGCCTGCCTGCACTTCAATGCCTGCCTGCACTTCAATGCCTGCCTGCACTTCAATGCACTGCCTGCACTTCAATGCCTGCCTGCACTTCATGCCTGCCTGCACTTCAATGCCTGCCTGCACTTCAATGCCTGCCTGCACTTCAATGCCTGCCTGCACTTCAATGCCTGCCTGCACTTCAATGCCTGCCTGCACTTCAATGCCTGCCTGCACTTCAATGCCTGCCTGCACTTCATGCCTGCCTGCACTTCAATGCCTGCCTGCACTTCAATGCCTGCCTGCACTTCAATGCCTGCTGCACTTCAATGCCTGCCTGCACTTCATGCCTGCCTGCACTTCAATGCCTGCCTGCACTTCAATGCCTGCCTGCACTTCAATGCCTGCCTGCACTTCAATGCCTGCCTGCACTTCAATGCCTGCCTGCACTTCAATGCCTGCCTGCACTTCAATGCCTGCCTGCACTTCAATGCCTGCCTGCACTTCAATGCCTGCCTGCACTTCAATGCCTGCCTGCACTTCAATGCCTGCCTGCACTTCAATGCCTGCCTGCACTTCAATGCCTGCCTGCACTTCAATGCCTGCCTGCACTTCAATGCCTGCCTGCACTTCAATGCCTGCCTGCAAATGCTGCTGCACTTCAATGCCTGCCTGCACTTCAATGCCTGCCTGCACTTCAATGCCTGCCTGCACTTCAATGCCTGCCTGCACTTCAATGCCTGCCTGCACTTCAATGCCTGCCTGCACTTCAATGCCTGCCTGCACTTCAATGCCTGCCTGCACTTCAATGCCTGCCTGCACTTCAATGCCTGCCTGCACGCACAGCCATCCTAGGACTTCGCTTACCCACGCCTCTTCTTTTAACAAATCCATCTTCATTTCTATTGCTTCTCCCATTTTCTCCGCCCTCAGTGTCTTTACTCATCCCATGCTCTTCGTTCCTCGCCTCTCAACTCTCGCCCCAATGCAGTGCGTGCAACAACGATTGGAACTGCATGGGGCACTACAGCAGTCGCATGCAGCCGCATGTGCAAAGGAACCAGTGGACCAAGGGCTCTCAGGTATACTCCATTTAATCCTGAAAATTCCGAGTTATAAATCCTTTTTTCACAATGCCCTGCTCCAAGGGTTCTCAGATGTCCTCCCCTTCCTTCTATTCCTTACTTTCAACTTTTGACTGCTGCTCCGCCCGCCTTATCCTGAGCAGTGGTGGGCGCTGACATGGTACCACGCCTTCCTTGCTGCCACGGACGCAACCATCTACCCCACCCTCGCCAGATGGTGCAAGGTGAGCGCAGGGGAGTGGGGTGAGCGCAGGGGAGTGGGGTGGCGTGTGTGTGGATACGTGGTACGGTGGTGTTTATGGTTGCAGACCCTTCTGTTCGACTATTATTTCTGGTCATTAAATCGGCAAAAATGTCTGATGTTCGTCTTTCCTGCCCTCCTCTCTCCGTGTGTCCCCATATATCATTTCTTTCCGCGGTCGCAGGGTGACAACTGGCATAGGCACTGTTATTTGGATGAGCATTATTTTCAAACATTACTCAAGGTACTCCCCATTCAGATGCTCATGGCATCGTACTGTGCTGTCTCATTCAAATGCGCTCAGTTACCTTAAAACTGTACAATCCCTCTCCATCCCTACCCTCCTCACCACCACTGAACCACCACTTCCCCCCTGCTCCTGCTTTATGACCTGCCCCTGTCCCTCTCCCTACGTATCCCCTCTCTCTCCTCCGTTTTCCCCATGTCGCCCTTCAAGATCCCGTTCGTGTCCCTGCCCATGTATCTTCCCCCCCTCACCCACCTCCCACTCTCCCTTCTCCCTCCCTCCGTTCCCCTCCTCTAGATCCGTGATCCAGCGCATGTGGCAAGGAGAGGACCCACATGGGCCATGTGGTCAGGGGGGGCACATCCAGTGGAGTACACAAGGGAGCAGCTCACCCCGCACTTTTTCACGTCTGTCAAGTGGGACTCCAAGTGCTCCTGGGGCGGCCACCAGAACTCTTGCTTCCTTGTTCTTAGGAAGATTGCACCCAGTGCGCTGCAGACTCTCCTTAACTACACTCCGGATGAGCTTGGTTACTGAATGTTCAATGTGATTGTTGGGGTATGGATGGAGTATATTTACATGACATGTGTTTGATAGAGTGGGTTGAAGATGGCGCAGAGAGTGGGCACTTCGTGAGCTCCATGGGCTTGTCAGAAAGAAGTTCCTGATGGGAGCCGATCAGCCAAACAAGACCGTACACATGCATGCACAGGCAACCAATCGTGCACATGAAATCTTGGAATAAGATAGTAGTAGTGGTGGGAGAGGAGTGGAGTTGAGGATGGCGTAGAATGCGAAGCGAAATGCACTATCTGCGCGATGAAACAGCACGACTGGCGTACCGTATGGTATGTTCCCTATGTTGCCTTGCAAACTGAGAGTTTTGTTCCACCACACTGGTAACGCCATGCCCGTTATTGTGCATGCCAAGGGCTACATGCACGCCCTCACCCGTTCAGCATGCATGTGAACCTTGGGAGCTGAAACTTTGCTGGAAGTCATTCTGTATAGTTCAATTAATTGGGATTTATCAGGTGTAGGTGAACGAGGTTGCCAAAGTTCCGATACAAACATGCTTCGGCAACACAACACATTCAAACTTCGGCCTGGAGGGAGCACCGCATCGCATCGCAAATGAAAGTTGCTCTCGGCTGTTCGATCAAATGGTGGTGTTCCTACAAGAGAAGCATCGACGACAGCCATCACATCACAGAAGATGGTGTGGTGATGGGCCATACGAATGTACATCACGGCGCCGTGTCAGAAGCATGCCCTTCTGACAGACAAATCCCGCGCAAGCGGCGGAACTGCGGGACTGCCGAGCTGCGGAGATTCCGAGGATCTTCTCGCAAAACTCAACTCGAAGTTTCGTGAGTCGTGTCTTCCGCGAACGAAATGCCTTTCCCCATCGTCAACGCCTATCAAGAAACTGCCACCGTCCGCCGATGGTATGGCGGCCTGCACCTTAGCAGGAGAAATGGTCATGGGTCAACTATCATTTCTGTGAATCCTTCTTCACCACTCTAAATCCGTCTATATTCCCCTGATTTCACCTCTGAACCTGGCTTTTTTCACTGATGGTCGCCTTTCTCCCTGAATGAAATCCTTTCTCCAGCTTCCCTGAACTTCATTCCTTCTAACCATGGTCACAGCTATTCGCTCGTGGATTCCTTGAGAATTAGCTCGCTTAGCTGAAGTCCATGGCTGTCGTCAGCTTGTTGCAAACCATATTTGGTTCTCGATTGTAGTATTAGTCTTCTTAATGTTCAGGTTTTGTTATCAAGACTGAGACCACTGATCGTTGCAATCCATGGCTGCGGCTCCTGACGCAAACCAGTAACCTTTAACATAATCACAGCCTGATCTAGCCGGACAGAAGCATTTTAAGCTTAGAATTTATAGTCATTCGGAGCAGTTTCATTTCCGTAGCAATCTCTTTCTTGACCGCAGTTCGGATTTCTGCTCCAGTTTCCAGAGCAACTTGGTTCAAGTATTCTAGACGTCTGACGAGCGCGGAACATAGTTTTCCTATTTCCAAACGCTCCTTCTAGTCACGAGGCGTCGCCGCTCTCCAGCAGCGAGATTTTTTCGAGTTGGTGATGACCGAGGCTGCCAGCGACAGCTGTTTCACACGGCGAAGACAGCGCTGAATGATTATACGGGGCTAGCAATGAGTACTTCGGACTTCGAGTAGCGAGTCATCGGCATCTAACGGTGGTGATTGGGAGGATCGTCACAATCGGGAAGCGTCGATTTGATAGTCACTTTAAAATAGTCGCTTTAATTGTCACCGCGGGAAATCGCAGTCCTCGCCACCGACGGAAAACGTCACTTCAATCACCACCATTAGAAATCGTCACCGTCAGAAATTGTCGGTTCGGTCGTTAGCGTCAATAGCCTTGATCGTCACCGTCAGATGCAGCCGACGCTGACTATCGAGATGGTCACTTCTCACGGTGACAACTGACGCGACGCTTGCCGACGCTGACTATCGAGATGGTCACTTCTCACGGTGACAACTGACGCGACGCTTGCCGACGCTGACTATCGAGATGGTCACTTCTCACGGTGACAACTGACGCGACGCTTGCCGACGCTGACTATCGAGATGGTCACTTCTCACGGTGACAACTGACGCGACGCTTGCCGACGCTGACTATCGAGATGGTCACTTCTCACGGTGACAACTGACACGACGCTTGCCGACGCTGACTATCGAGATGGTGATGATTTCTCGCGGTTACGATCTAAGCGCTGGCCGGAGACGAATGCGAGGGCGGTCGAAATCAAGCCAAAATGGGAAGAGTGCATTCTGCTGCTGGACCGCTGCCTCGCTGCTTCTGTCGCTTGCGAGCACCACCCATACGGCTAAGTCCCCTCTCCCTTTCCCCTTGTCATCCTTACCGCTTTTGGTTCGTGTTTATCATTGACCACATCTGGTACACGTTTTTCCTTCACAGCATGTATCGCAAAAGAGTCGAGTGAGAGATGAGCGTCGTTTTGGCGATGGTAGCGCATGGAACTGGGGCGGCTTGAGCTCATACTAGAGTCGTAGGAGGGTAGAGTAGAATGCATTCATACTCATGCCCGCGTCCCTTCCTTACCCAGCCTCCCCTTGCCTGCTAGCTCGCCGCTCTAGTGCTGTGTGCTACCATCGCCTCCCCTTTCATAGCGTTACAGTGCCACATGCTTTTCATCTTCAACTTTTGTCTCCGTTACTCCTTCGTTCTTGTTATCTCTGCCTCCTTGCATGTATTTCACTACTTTCTTGCTTCTACTGACTACTTGGGTTCCTATCCCCCGCTCGGTCCTCTTGCTTTCCTTTGCTCCACCCCTCTCGTCCGGTGCTATGGCAGCGTGGTGCGGGGAGGGAGGGCGGTGGGATGACGCACGGAAGGCAGTCACAGCGGTGTGCGAGCCTCCTGGAAGCCTGACGCCACTGTCCTGCAAGCACCCCCATACAGCTAAGTTCCCTCTCCCTTCGCCCTTGCCATCCTTACTGCTTCTGCTTCGTGTTTATCACTGCCCTTGATTGTTCAGCGTCTTTTCCTCACTGCATGTTTGAAAATACGAAATGAGAGACGTGAGACGAGCGTCAAAAGTTGAGTGAGAGATGAGCGGCGTTTTGGCGATGGTAGCGCATGGCACTGGGGCGGCTTGCGCATACTAGAGTCGTAGGGGGATAGAGTAAAATGCATTCATACTCATGCCCGCGTCCGTCGCCCCCCTTGCCTGCTAGCTCGCTGCCCTAGTGCTGTGTGCTACCATCGCCCCCCCTGTCACTGCGTCACCGTGCCACATGCTTTCTATCTTATGCTTTTGTTTCCGTTACTCATGCGTTCTTGTTATCTCTGCCTCCTTGCATGCGTTTCTATACTTCCTTGCTTCTACTGACTTCTTGGCTTCCTTTCCCCCACTGGCTCCTCTTGCCCTCGTTTGCTCCACCCCTCTCGTCCAGTGCTATGGCAGCGTGGTGCGAGGAGGGAGGGCGGTGGGATGACGCACGGCAGGCAGTCACAGCGGTGTCGAGCCTCCTGGAAGCCTGACGCCTGCAAGCAACCCCATACGGCTAAGTTCCCTCTCTCTTTGCCTGCCATCCTTACCGCTTCTGCTTCGTTTTTATCACTGCCCTTGATTGTTCAACGTCTTTTCCTCACGGCATGTTTGAAAATACGAAATGAGAGACGTGAGACGAGCGCCAAAAGTTGAGTGAGAGATGAGCGGCGTTTTGGCGATGGTAGCGCATGGCACTGGGGCGGACTACAGAGCAGCGCCTAACTACAGGTACGCTAACCCCACTCTGAGTACAGGGCAGCGCCTATGTCTGATGCATGCAGCAGGATAACGAACAATCAAGCAGTAAATGTTTGCAGACCTGAAAGAACCGATCACAAACAGGGATGACAGCTTTGTAATTTCAATGAGGGGATAGGTGGGATCATAATTATATCTTTCTATCTGCTGTATGCCTTGCTCTGTTGTATAGTACAGGCTGTAGAATGTAGGTTTTAGCTCGTCACCTCACCTGCAAACTGGAACTCCTCTCTTCTCCTTTAGGTTGTAGCACTGTTTGTTCTGAATTGTAGGATAGGGAGCGGAGGAGAAGGGGGAGCAGAGGATGATGCAAGCAGGGGAGGAGAAGAAGCAGACGAAGATGCGTGCAGGGGAGAGGGAGCAGCGGACCATACACGCAGAGGAGGAGAGGGCACTGAGGAGGAGGAAGGGGAACAGAGGAGGACAGGAGGAAGATTCGCCTTATGCTTTTATTCAGTTGTTCTTCTTCCATCATCTTGTTCTCGGTTTCCCTAGTCTCCTATCCTGAAGTTCTTCTCTCGTACCACTCCTCTTCTCCTCGCCGTAGCCTGACTTGCACTTTTAATCGATCGCCCTCCTCCTTCTTGTTCTCCTTGTTCATCTCCTGTCTTCAGGACGCAGAGGAGGACGCAGGGGAGCAGACAAGTGGGAGCAGAGATGAAGGAGCAGATATGAGGGAGAAGACTGTGATGTGGTGAGTCTCCTCTGACAGTACCTTTACTTTTGCATTCATTGTGGCCTGCTCCTTTGATCCTCTACACATCGCTACGTGTTACCGCTCCGCCTCACTCTCACCTTTTGGTCAATTTGATCGTTTGCAATTGCCTCATTGCCTCCCACTCACTTGCAGTTGCCTCCTTGCCTCCCACTCTCTCCCTCCCCCTTTCTCTACCCGCATTTATTTTCTTCCCTGTCACCACTCTTCCTTTTCCTGTCTCCCTTCAACCTTCTCTCTCTCTCCATATTTTCACCCTTTTCATCGCTCTTCCTGTCAGTGTCTATCCTCCGCTAGGCGAGGCCAGCAAGGTGAGACAGTAACTGGGGCGCTGAGGGGAACACAATGGGCAGACACGACATGGTAAGCTCCTCGTGCTGCTTGTCAGTTTGGTCTCCTTTGCCACTCCCTTTTCTGTCACAGGGAGCAACGGTCAAGTGGCATCCACATGTTGCATGCTAAAATCCCCTCCACATTTCCTTGTGTCGCCTAGCCAGCCCTCTCTCTAGCTTCTTTGAACGTCATCGCCGCTCCTCTCATACCCTCCTTGTCTCCTCCTTCCCTGCCTTTCACTCTGCAGTCGATCACAACATGGGAGTGGCAGCAGCGGCAATATCAGCAAGGGGCAACAAGCGAGGGCCAATCAACTGAGCCCTCTTTCCCTCGTACGTTCCTCATCCCCTCCCATCCCGCATCTCCTCAAAGCTTTATGCTCCGTCAACTCTCGCTTTCTTCCTTCCCGCTTCTTCACGCCGCCTTCTCTCCTCTCATATCCTCCTGCACCACCGTCTGATAAACAGGCACAGCAATGGTGGCATGGGACGGACTACAGGCGAGGTCATTTGAATCGTCTTCTTATGGTAATTCTGCTCGCTCAACCCTCCTCTCCTCTGCTCCCAATTTTTCTTTGTCAGCCTCTCTGTTGCATCTCCTCTTCGTTTCTCGTTTCTTTTACCTTCGCTCCTCTACATTCAGATGCGTTATTTTTCCGCTGTTCCTCTCCTCTTTGGCACATGCCTTAACCCCTCTCGTTTCCTCCTTCAGGTGTGATCAGCAGCAGTGGGCGGAGCAACATTTTGGCAGCAGAATTGGAGCTCGAGGGTCAGGAATAGCACGTGCTTTGAGGCCTTCTCTCGTGGTGGGTTTCTGCACCCACCCCTCTTTCTTCTGCACCACACTTTCATGGTGCGCCAATACCCCTCCCAACCCCACACGTCTTGTCCGTGTCTCACAGTCCTTCGCATTTCATACCTGTTTCTCTCTCTGCCCGGCAACACAATTTCGCTGTAGCTGAATGGGTAACAAGAATGGAACCACAAGCTTCATCCTTGGCCTTCCACATGCTCGCTGCGTCAGTCTGGGTGTGTTGCTGACATGACAGGATCGGCCGGTGAGGCGGCGATTGCGATTCCTTGCGGGGAGAGGCCAGCTGGTGACGAGCTCATCGCTGTCTGTGAAGGTGAGCAGAAAGCAACCAAACACAGACTGAACCCAGAAACAGCATGTCATATCATATCATATAGCTTATCATGTACATTGAGTAGGTACCCAAACCATGTAAATCATGTGTCCGAATCGGACAACACCTATCATTTCATATCATACCTGATTCTACCATGTAGAGAAGCTCAATTCTTGTCTCCTCCTATCATTCTGCATTGTCTCCTCTTCTCGTCTATTTGCAGTACAGCCGAAGCAGCTCCGTTTGGAATTCAAGACGGAAGATGAAGACGTATGCTAGAGTTGAAGCAAATAGGATAGGATAGGTTATCTAGACTAGTAGTAACACTCTCAGGTATGGTATCCCCCCCTCTCCCCCTGCGTAGCACTCCCCCCACACCCCTCTTTGCCTGTCCCTCCCAACCCCCTCCCCCCACACCCCTCTTCCCGACCCCCTCCCAATGGGACCCACCCACCTCAACAACCACCTGCGCAGGGTCTAACCACAGGGCTAACCACTAAGGGTTATCCACAGAGCTAACCACAGGGCTAACCGCAGGGCTAACCGGCAGGGCTAACCGCAGGGCTAACCGCAGGGCTAACCACAGGGCTAACCGCAGGGCTAACCGCAGGGCTAACCACAGGGCTAACCGCAGGGCTAACCACAGGGCTAACTACAGGGCTAACCCGCAGGGCTAACCGCAGAGCTAACCGGCAGGGCTAACTGCAGGGCTAACCGCAGGGCTTGTGCCATGTGGGTGGCACACTAATCACAGGGCCTTTGGGTCGAAGCAGTCTAACAGGGCACATTGGAGCACTAACCACAAAGCTTGGGCATTAGAGCACACTAATTACAGGACTTTGTGCCCCCTGGCACAGAAATCACAGAGCTTGTGCCTCGGAGCACCCTAATTACAGGGCCTGTGGTCGAAACACACCAGTTACAGGGATTGCGCATTGTGATCACTAACCACAGAGCATCAGGCTACTCTTGATACCGTACATGCTCGTGCATCAAATACGGTACATGCTCTGCAAAGAGCGCGCCCATAAAGAGCTGCTGCAATGTCTTGAAATATCAGTAGATAACACGGGCAGGATATATACTGTATGACTACATTGCCGCACATCAACTGCATACACTTGCAATGCTATAGCATCGGGCATTCTGATTACAAGCTTGATTATTAGGGCAGGCCACTTTCCTACTTGAAGCATACGCAACAGAGCAACTGATTGCATTACCAGGCCATGATTGTTACATGGTACTATGGTATTACAATGCTTAGGTACTATGATTGCTTTGGCATCCAGTACAGTGTAGTTTGCTAGAGAAACATACAGTAGCATGCTGGTGTGAGTGAGGGTTAGTATCACATTAAAATATATAAGTTCTAAAACATGAGTGTTGTGCAGTCAGCTGTCATGTCAGATTCCTTGCAACCATAAGCTACACTGAAAGGTTGTAACACGGGCACATCTATACATACGGGTACATGCCAAGTACTGAAAATCCTTAAGATACCGGTAGAAACATCCAATCGATATCAGGTCAATAAGTACCGTAACAAGTGCAGTAATACTGTGTGCCGTGCACACACACCAGTTTCCATTTGGCAGAACCAGGAATACCTACTCGAGGTTGCTTATGAAGGTAATGAAGGCAGGAAAGGGGTGCCAAAACATCGCACTGAAACACATACTGCAGCTGTGCTGCACACGCTTCTCCAGTTTTCCTTCCCTGCACACCCCCTCTCCTTTCCACCCCTCCACTCTCTCCAACCTCTGTTTTACCAGGTGACGTGACCCCTCATTGCCAGCCCGCCCACCCTTGGGCCTGTCCCTTGCTTTAACCCCTTCACACCCACTGTAACCCCTTCACACCCACTCTAACCCCTTCTCATTCTCGGATCCCTTCTCTCTGCCACACTCCCCTTCTCACTCCTCCCTCCCGCTCTCCTCTCCGCTTCCACACCTTCCCTCCCCCCCGACTCCCCATCCATAACCCTCTTTCTCACTCCTATCCCCCTCTCGCCATCACCTCCCACCCCTCCGCTGCTTTGGCCCGAGCCAAGGGTCCGACGCTGGTCATCCGGACCTGCTCGAGCCGAACCTCGCCCCGAACCTCCGCTGGAGGTTGTACCTGCGCCGCGGCCACCAGAAGCACCTGCGTTCCTAGCAATCCTCGGATCATTGCTCTTAATGTTACCACCCACAGGGTTACCACCAGAATTCATGGTTCGCTGCCCTTCTCCCACACCCGGCTTTCCTCTGCTCCCCCCAGTTGACCCTTCTAGCTCTCCCACCCCTCGCCCTCCTCCTCCTCTTCCACCTCCTCCTCCTGTTCCGGTTCCTTCTCTTCCTCTCGACACCTGTGTCCCTGGTTGACCCCCACTCCTCTTCCCTCCTTTCTCTTTCTCCTTTTCCTCTTCGCTCTCCTCATCATCCTCATCAGAATCATCATCTTCATCATCAGAATCATCGTCATCGTCGTCATCATCATCATCTGATTCCTCCTCTTCCTCCTCCTCTTCTTTCTTCTGGCTCCCTCGTTTGTTCCCTGCCTGGCGCGTGCCTGCATTCCCCCCATTCCCCCCATTCCCTCCACTCCCCCCGCCACCGCCACCACCACCCATATGCATGGCCATGCCATACCCATTTGAACCCATACCACCAGCCCCACCACCCATATTCATGCCCATGCCCATACCTCCCATACCCCCCATTCCACCCATGCCACCCATACCCCCCATCTCTCCCATCCCCATTCCCCCCATTCCCATGCCCATATGCATGCCCATTCCCCCCATCCCACCCATCCCTCCGCCCATCCCTCCCCCCATCCCTCCGCCCATGCCTCCCCCCATCCCTCCGCCCATGCCCCCCCTCCCCTGCGCCTGAGCTTGCTGCTCCATTAGTCTCTTCTTCTCTGCTTCCCGTGCCGTGGCCTGGCGGGGATGGGGGAGAGTGAATGAGAGAGAGGAGGGGAAAGGGAGGGCAGGTCAACACAAGGGGTGTTCCAACAAGGCACCGCCTGAGCTTGCTGCTCCATTAGTCTCTTCTTCTCTGTTTCCCGTGCCGTGGCCTGGCGGGGATGGGGGAGAGTGAATGAGAGAGAGGAGGGGAAAGGGAGGGCAGGTCAACACAAGGGGTGTTCCAACAAGGCACCGCCTGAGCTTGCTGCTCCATTAGTCTGTTCTTCTCTGCTTCCTGTGCCGTGGCCTGGTGAGGGGGAAAGAGGTGGGGCGAAAAGAGGGACGAGGGGAAGGGAGGATAAAAGGGTTGAAACCAGGCGCGAAAACAGGGATGGAAGAAGGAAAGAGAGGGGATAGAGAAGCACTCACTAGCATAGGAGAGAAGCGCGTAGCAGCAGAGGGTAGCTTGAGTCACCTTGAACAGGGCGCACATACCAGGAGGGGTGCGTCTGGCTCGCGGTAGAGCAAGGAAGTGAGCTGCTCGCCTGCTGAGGGCTCCACCTCCTGGCAATCGCGGCTGATCTTGACAGGCTGGTTGTCGTTGTACTGGTTGCGCAGGTGCCGCGTCTTGTTGAACGATAGCTCACAGAGCTGAGGGGATGGAGAGGGAATGGAAGGAAGACAAGTCTTGTGGAGAGAGAGTTAAAAGATTTAAGTGGGTAGGTGGGAAGGGGGGAATTGACAGAGAGAGCAGGGGAGGAAAAATAAGGGGGCAAACATCATGCTGACTACGATTCCATGCACAGCCCCTGAGTCGACTCAAAAGTTGCCTCTTCCTCTACGTTCGCCCCTCTCCCCCTCCCTTGTCCCGCACTCTTCCCTTCCTTACCTTAAGCCATCTGATACGGAAGTTTTGCCCATAGCTGCCCATCCGCTGAGCATACATAGAGTAGCCCCTCCCCTCCCCTCTTCCCCTCTCCCCTCCCCTTTTCCCCTCTCCCCTCCCCCCTCCCCCTCTCCCTTCCCTCACACCTCCCTCTCACCTTGAGCCATCTAATGCGGAAGTTCTTACCATAGCTGCCCATCCGTTGAGAATACTTAGAGTAGCCCTCCCCTCCCGTCTTTCCCTCTTCCCTCCCCTCTTCCCCCTCTCCCTTCCCTCACACCTCCCCCTCACCTTGAGCCATCTGATGCGGAAGTTTTGCCCATAGCTGCCCATCCGCTGAGCATACTTCCACGGCCCTCCCCCCACCACGGCTCCTATGCGCGACATCATCAGCGCACAACCCTGCATGCGCGGAAGAGCGAGGGTGAAAGTGAGGAGAGGGGAGTGGGGAGAGGGGAGTGGGGAGTAGCGAGTGGGGAGTGGGGAGTGGGGAGTGGGGAGTAGCGAGTGGGGAGTGGGGAGAGGGGAGTGGGGAGTGCGGAGTGCGGAGTGGGGAGTGGGGAGTAAAGAGTGGGGAGTGCAGATTGGAGAGTGGAGAGTGGGGAGTGGGGAGAGGGGAGAGGGGAGTGGGGAGTGGGGAGAGGGGAGTGGGGAGTGGGAGTGAGGTTAAGCGTGGGGGAGACAGAAAAATTCCACGGTCCATCATCACCGCACAGCCCTGCATGCAGAGGGGAGAGTGGGGTTGAGAGTGAGAAGCGTGGAGAGGAGTTGGGGAGAGAACACTTTCATTAAACGATTGGGACCCGCCGATGCCTTTCACAACGTCAACAACACTCCCAATCACCTAGTATCCCTGATTCCCAACAGAGAAGAGAAGGATGAAACTGTCATATGCCTTGTTAATGAGCCTCGTTATGTCATGACGAAACTGAACAACTCATATGTCTCGTTCAGCTGCAAGTGCTGCAGCCTCTAGCTTCAACACTCCCTAGCCCCTGCTGCCCCTCACCTGGAAGTGCCTCGTCTCATTAACGGAGAAGATGAGGATAATGCTGTCACACGACTCGTACAACCCGTTCAGCTTCCCCTCGCCCACATGCCCTGCTGCCGCATGACTTCAGCTTCAAACTTTGCACCCCTTAGCTTCCCCCCTCACCTGGAAGTGCCTCGTCTCATTGACTGAGAAGATCAGGATAAGGCTGTCACACGAATCATACGCCTCGTTCAGCTTCAACAGACTCTGCAGCCCATAGCCCCTCCCTCCTGCAAGTGCCACCCGTGCGTTGACCGCCTCACCTGGAAGTGCCTCGTCTCATTGACGGAGAAGATGAGAATGACACTATCACACGACTCGTACGCCTCGTTCAGCTTCCCCTCGTTGTTGCGGTGCGTCGCCCACATGCCCCGCTGGGCAGACAATTCAAGATTCTCCAGATTGTTGCTCTTCACGATGAAGTACCTGAGGGGGGGTGTGGGGTGAGGAAAGAGGGGATGGAGGGGAGCGGAAGAGGGGGGCTTGCTAGGAGCAAGAGGGGTTTCTTATTCAGTGGCCCACATGCCCCGCTGCACAGACAATTCAAGATTCTCCAGATTGTTGCTCTTCACGATGAAGTACCTGAGAAGGTGGGGAGGTGGGGTGCGGGGAGGCAAGAGACAATAATGTTGGTGGAACTCAAATGAAATACTCACAACTTAAAGACTCAGAAGCTTCAAAACGTTACGAAACTCGAATGCACACACATTGGGTTGGGGTTATGCCATTGGCAACTTCTGAAAAATCTCAAAACATGTTTCCAAACAAGAACCACTGACTGACACAAATAGCATATTCCGAGATATAATGAACCACGCCACATGAAAGACAAGCACGCACGCACCTGGTTGTGCCGGGTGGTGGCGGAATGGCGAGGCTCATGGGAGGAGTGGGCGCCATTGCTGCTCCCATGCCTGCTGCTGACGCATCCCCCATCATCATCCCCCCTTCCCCGTGCATCCCTCCTGCTCCCCCTCCCACCCCCCCTCCCCCCATCCCCCCTCCCCCCATCCCTCCCCCTCCTCCCATGCCCCCTACTGATTGACCCGCCATCCCTTGCTGTTGCTGCATATGCCCCTGATTTGAAGGGTTTGCCTGATTTGGAATGTTTGCCTGATTTGGAATGTTTGCCTGATTTGGAATGTTTGCCTGATTTGGCATGTGCGCCGACCCGCCTCCGCCCCCAAATCCTCCTCCTCCACCATCACCACCCCCACTCCCACCAGTAGCAGCAGTAGCACCACCCTTTTCAGCAGTTCCCATACCGCCCATCCCACCCCCTCCTGCCTCTGCCCCGTCCCTTCCGTTCCCCACCCCATTTGCAACCCCTCCCCCTCCCCCTCCCCCAGTGGGTCCGCCCCCTATTCCCCCTTCACCCGTTGCCCGACTCACCCCTTGCATCCCCCCTCCCCCTTCCTGCTGCTGCCCCCCCTGCTGCCCCTGGCTCCCCTGCCCCTGCCCCTGCTGCTGCCCTGTTTGCTGCGCTTGCTGATTCACAGCTGCCCCCCCTGCCCCTCCGCCTGGCCCCATTCCCCCTCCGCCTGGTCCCATTCCCCCTCCGCCTACCCCCATGCCCCCTCCGCCTGCCCCCATGCCCCCTGCTGCCCCTGGCGCAATATTCCCCCCACCAGGCCCAGCTTCCCCGCCTGCTTGCCCCATGGGCCCCCCTTGCCCCATCTCCCCTCCTCCTCCCATTCCCCCTACCCCGCCTCCGCCCATACCCCCAACAGCTCCTCCCCCAGGCCCCATATTCCCCCCTTGTCCCATTCCCCCATGCCCCATGCCCCCACCTACCCCCATTTCCCCCCCCCCATGTGCGCCCATCCCCCCGCCCCCCTGCTGCTCCATTCCCCCAGGCCCAGAAAAGAACCGCACCGGCTTGTTGCCTCCCCCCATTGGCCCCCCATTCCCCATCCCCATTCCCCCCATGCCTCCCCCCATGCCTCCCCCCATACCTCCCCCCATGCCACCCCCCATCCCTCCCCCCATGCCTCCCCCTCCGCCCCCCATCCCCCCCGCGAAGTGGAAGGGGGGGCGCTGCTGCAGCTGCAGCTGAAACTTTTCCGCCAGGGCCTCCACAGGGGGGGGCGGGCCGGGCAGCTTCATATGTCGGTACCGGCAATCAGGGCCGTTCGGGCAGAATCCGAGCTTGTACCTGGGGGGGGGAAGGGAAAGGGGAAGCAGAAGGGGAAGGGGGAGCGGGAGTGGGGGGACTATGGGTAACAGGGATGATTAATCAGAAATATGGGTAACAGGGATGATTAATCAGAAATATGGGTAACAGGGATGATTAATCAGAAATATGGGTAACAGGGATGATTAATCAGAAAGATGGGTAACAGGGATGATTAATCAGAAAGATGGGTAACAGGGATGATTAATCAGAAAGATGGGCAACGGCACACAGCAGCGAGCAAGAGCAACGTTCACATCACAGAGCCATTAGGCCGTATCTCATGAGCAGATGAGCAGAGAGCAAGAGCAATGGAGAGCACGAGCAACATTAGGCTATGAGGATGGCAGGCCAGGCAGGGTCTGTAATAACATGGCTCTTGAGGTGTCGGAAATAGCGCCACAATTCTCACAAGCCTGCTTGCTTGCAATAAAAAGCGCAATCAGGATATGCAGGAGAATACAGTGATAAAATGCAGGAATGGTAACGAGTCAAGTCAATGCAGGCAATTCTGTGCACTGAATAGACATGTGTGCGCCAAAGGCAGCACATGCAGAGAAGATTCTGGCTGAAATGGACAGGAGGAGCAAAAGGAAAGCTTTTTATTATAATCAAGAAAGAATATTGACAAAAAATAATTGATGCAGGAATTACAAAGAAACAATCGCAAAAATGCCAACTCCTGCCCCTCTGAGGAGAAACAGAGAACAAACACGTATAGCCTACAGCTTACTAATATCCTAACGCACACACACATGTACAGACTTCTCAAAGAGCAAGATAACCGCCGCAACCGTCAAAAGCATCAGCACAAGAGCCTGCTGAGTCGACCAATAAATACAGCTGATAAGGCAGTCACGAATCAGTAAACCGTCACATTTTAATAAGCCGTAACGTACATGTTACACTCCTTGACGTCTTCGTTGGTGTGCTTGTACACGCAGTCAAGCTCCCTGCACTCGCCCCACCGCGCAAAGTACCGACACACAGGCATGCGGCTCTTGTCGTACTGATGCAGAAACCCGCAGTCGTTCCCCTTCATGCACAGCCCGCGCAGCCAGTGCCGGCAAACGGTCTGCCGGTAATTCCGCCGGAAACCGGCAGGCGGCGGACCTCCCCCGTGCCCGCCTCCCATGTCGTGCGCCTGCTGCTGATGCGGCGGCTGCTGCTGCTGTTGCTGCTGATGCTGCTGACTTTGCGGGAATTGATGGTGTTGCTGCTGCTGCTGGTACGGGGGTTGCGCGTGCTGCGACGAACCCCCGCCGAACCCATCGGCCCGCGGGCCGAAATTCCCGCCACCCGCTCCGCCGGGTGCGCCGGGGCCGGCGCTCGGCTCCGCGGAAGCCGCCGCGCCGGGCGCGGAAGCGGGGACGGCGGTGCTGAAGGCGGGCGCGGACGGCGGAAGCGGGCCGGGGCCGAGCGTCTGCTCGAAGTCGAAATCCTCGAGAGCATCGTAGTCGTCCATTGTGACGCGTGGCGGAGATCGACGGTGATTAAGAGGCCGAGCGAATTGAGACGAATGGCCTAACGATCACGGGGCTCTGAAGATTCAGCGACGGAATCAGTGAGTTAACGACGCGAATATGTGTGGTGAAGCGAAACCCTGAAACGTAACGAAGCGAGACGTCTTAATCCGAGTCAAGCAACGTCAGCAGGGGTACAGCGGTACGTCGTTCGCTCGCGCGTTTAACGGCAGGGGATGCGGGCGACTGACCGCGCCGCAACAACGCGGGCGATCCCTGTGCTTCAAACCTCCCTGGTATCAGCGAACCGAACAAACCCTAAAATCCGATCACTCTCGCCCGCCACCTGCAATTCCCGCCAAAACTATCCACTCCATATAATGCTTCCGCAAGCACGTCCCTCGTCACCAGACTGCGGCCAAAGCAAGAACACAAATCTGGTCGACCTGCCGGCTATCTGATCTTCGGACCAGCCGCTACGGCCAACGAATTTTTCTACCTTAGCGCAGCAGGGACCGCCATACCACCTTAGTCAAAAGTGCACAACCGAGTACAAGATGTGCTTTTGAAAATGGCTGTCCTGTCCGTGAAGCGTACCAGTAGCTTTCCTACAACCATGAAGCATGCTATAAAGTGGCTCGTTTACCGTATTATTCCGGCTATAGGACCCGCCAGTAAAAGGGTCCCCCGGGACTCTCTATGAGGTACTGGGACTCTTATTTTGGTACCAAAATGTGAGGACCCCCCTTTTGCCCCTAAACAATATAAGACCCCCCTTTTACATACAATTGTCGTAAATGCAATTGCGCGTCAGCTTTTATAGGCATTATCTCGAATTCTGACACGCTGTATGCGTCAGATTTCGATTCTGACGTTTTTATTTGTGTCAGACGCGAATTCTGACACAAATTTGACGCGCCGCTCGCGTGAGATTTCCACAAGAGGGGTGTTTTTCGTTACCGAATATAAGACCACCCCCCCCCCCACCCCCCCTTAAAACGAACACTACATGGTAAATCCCATTTACATTGTTAGACAAATAAGCACACCCGGGTCTTAAAAAATTGTATGCCAACTATATGTCCACCCTAGCATTTTTTTCTGCATTTGTAGAAAGTCCCCCGGGTCCTATAGCCGGAATAATACGGGTACGTGCACAGTTCATCTGAAGCTTCAAAAGTTTATTATGCATAGCTGCATTCGACATCTATCAATACATTCATTGCAAAATTGCCCAATGTAATACCGTAGCATGGTAGCCCAAGATGTGAGCAAATGCTATATATCTAGATCATCATCAGGGTCCTCATCCGAATCCGGGTACTCGTCATCCGAATCACGCTCATAATGAATCAAACCACCACCTCCGCCTTCGCTCCACTCGCCCCCAGTGGTCCCCACAGCAAGTTCCGCCATACGAGCCGACACAACACCAACCAAACTCTCTCCATAAGCCTTTGCTGCTCCCTTGATCTGGCTTGGCGCAAGACTCCTCCTCCCATCGTAAATCTTGATTGGTCCAGTTTCGCCTGGATAAGGGGCAAGGACAGTGAGTGGTGGAAAATGACACCAACGGTCTTCCGAACAAAGGCGAGCTAAAATTGTGAAGAAAACGAAGAGGTGGGGAGACTGGAAACGAGATGAGCAAGTGCGAAGGATGGGCTGGGCGAGGTTGGGAGGGGTTCGAACCAACCTCGGTGTTCGTATGGCAACACCACTTTCTCTCTTGCTGCACGTTCCTCTTCTGAAAGTTCTAGGCGGAAGGAGACCTGGAATTGGGTGGGGGCAGTGTGACACAAGGTGGGGGCAGTGTGACACAAGGTGGGGGCAGTGTGACACAAGGTGGGGGCAGTGTGACACAAGGTGGGAGCAGTGTGACACAAGGTGGGGGCAGTGTGACACAAGGTGGGGGCAGCGTGACACAAGGTGGGGCAGTGTGACACAAGGTGGGAGCAGTGTGACACAAGGTGGGGGCAGTGTGACACAAGGTGGGGGCAGCGTGACACAAGGTGGGGGCAGTGTGACACAAGGTGGAAACGAAATTTGAGATAGTTTGCAGGAAAGGATGCGGAGCAAAAAGGAGGTCACAGAGAGAGGCAGAAGCAGAGGGGTAACAGGAGCAAGAGAGAGACGCAGTGGAAAATGGCAACGGGCAATATTAAATCCATGAGCCCTGCACAGCACTTAGCTGAACGCAAAGCCCTTGCAGCCTTCAGAGCACTTTTCACTCTCACCTCTGGTACCCGATCTCCCATCGCCCTACTCGGCTCCACGGCTGCACCCTCTCTTCTCCCTGTCAACCCCGTGTGTGGCCCCTCTGCAGGCTGCTGCTCTGGTGGAGGTACATTTGGAGGAGGCTCAACTGTGCTGTCTCTTTTGTTGTCACTTGCGAGGGTGGGTTGTGGTGCGGTCACAGGTGATTCACTGGGCGCGGTGGGTGGTTGTGGCATGCGCACAGAGCCCTTGGTCTGTGCGTCTATGTGCACTGCCCCTTGCCGGTCAAAATGAAACTCCTCAAGCTGCACTCAAAGTGAACAGAGGGATGGGAAGTGAGAGATTCTGTGCGGAATGATGGACTGATGGACTGACGGACAGACTGACACGCTTGTAAGACGTGGCTGCAGAGAACTGGCTGGGGCAAACCAAACGCAGCAGAGAGTGCCAAAGAGAGAGACCCACCGCGGTTCGGAATTTCCCCGAAGCCCTCTTCTGCTGCAGCACCAGTATCCCTCCCGGCAACACGTGCCGATCCCCCATGATGTCCCCACCCATGCTGCCACCACTCTCGCCCCTGCCGCTGCTCCTCCCACTGATAATACCAGTGCCAGCTGCGGTGCTGCTAGTGCTGTTCGTGGCAGTGGTAACAGCTGAGTTTCCCAAAGGGTGGTGGGAAGAGGAGGCGGGATGAGGGAGTAATGGGGAGGAGAGGAGGAGGGAGAGAGGGAGAATGGAGTGGCCGGGATGGGGCTCCAGGGAGAGGAGTGCATGCGCCATGTGGCGCAAGGAGGAGGTGACAGCTGGCGGGGTGACGTCAGCATGGGATAAGAGGAGGACTCCCGAAACTGAGGCTGGAGGGGAGAAAAGGGAGATGGATACTGGAGGTGATCTTGCCATCCACTAAAAAATCACCTCTGAGAATGGGAGGCGAGAAAGGGAAGTTAGGAGCGCGGGAGGAATGGAAAATATAGTGGTTGAAGGAAGCTTACAAAAGGGATCCACGCATGATCAAGTTGACGACTAAAGCAGGGAAGCCATAACGGCTCTCTGCACGCAACATGCTTGAGCATACCTCCTTGATGATATGGGTCCCACTCTCTCCACCACGCCCCCTTACCATGCCACTGCAGTCGCGCGATCATGGCGAGGAGAGCTGCTGGCGTGTTGTGGCGCAGGAAGGGGTCCAGCTGATGGCATGGCGTGCAGAGAGGCATGGCCGCATGGCATGGCGTGGCATAGCATGGTATGTCATGGTACGGGGAGAGGGGGAATGCAGGGAGAGGGGGAATGAGGAGGGATGGTGGTATGGGGAAACGAAATGCAGGGAGAGAGGGAAGGGAAAGGAGTGAGGCAAGCAGGACAGAAACCCGTTAGGCAAACAATTTACATGGATGGGCGGGCCTACCGAGTCTAGCACCGCAATGGATGGAGAGCATTTCTGAGGTGCCTGAAATAAGCGAATCAAGTGCATGGACGTTACTACCAAGTCACGTGGTAAGATGAAAGGAGAAATCCCTTTTGAGGTGCCTGAAATGTCAAGAACCGGTTCAGGCGATCGGATTGCGTGCAGGATGTACCTACCGAGTCTAGCACCACGATGGATGGAGAGGTCCCTTGCACGCCTGCGTGCGATTCCGTGGCTTGAGGCTTAGCCGCACTACTGGCATGCGAAGGGGGGATGTAGCATGTGGGGACATGGGTGTGCGGACATGGGTGTGGGGACACGGTGTGGGGAGATGGGTGTGTGGACATGGGTGTGGGGACACGGGTGTGAGAATATGGGGTTCGATAAAAGGTGCTGTGGTGGCGGAGGGGAGAGTAGGGGACAGAGGGACACGGAACGGTCAACAGAAGGGCGAGTATTGGTCAAACAAATAACACTGAATGCCGCTAGGCACGCATGGAAACTTACAGAATGCGCTGCTCAAGCGACTGCAGGTCCCACACGTTGCAGCAGCTGCTGAGAATTGGATCCGCATTACTGCTGCCTGCACTCCCAATGCCTTCACTGTCGCCGCTGGAATTGACTGGCTGACTACAGGGCGGCTGAAACGGCTGAAACGGCTGTCCCCACCCCATGGGGTCAGAGCAACAGTCTATCAGTGTGCAGTGACACGCGCACAGCCCCCCAGTGGCGCCATGCGCGGTGGTTACGGCGGTTGTGGCAGCACGGGGTGAGGCTAAGACCAGCACTGCTCGGCTGGGAGGGGGTTGCGGGCAGGGAGGGGAGGAAGTGGAAGAGGGGGAATGGTGGGAATGGACACAAGATACGCACACAGACCTTATCAGAAAGATACACGCACACATTACACACACGCAAGCGTCACACAAATTCTCACATAACACACACGCAAACGTCACGCGTGCAGACATCACGCACCTTGCCTGCGCGCGATTGCAGTGGATCGCTCGAACCAGGGACTCAGTCATGTGGCGCAAGATCTGCCAGCCTCCCAGAACGTGACACGTGTCGCCTAGCACCACTGTCGGTGCCTCCATGCCGTCAATCCGTCCATCCCGCAACAGTCGCACCGCTGCGGCCGCCATGAGCTCGTGATCGATAATATAACTTCGCAATTACTGTAACAAGCTTATCAAAATGCTCCCGCTCCTTTGTGCCACCGATCCCGTGACCAAGAGTAATTCGCGATCCTTGCAGCAAATTCTCTAAGCTTTAAGGACTAGTAAAATCGCTGCAGCTCTGGTCCCTTTCGTGCCTGATCCTCAATTCTTCCAGACGGAACGACAAGGAGCACTGATGCAAGAGTTCATCCATACAAAATGAATTGAACGTGTGCTGGCTTTGTGTTTGCTTGGCAGCTTCGCCTCGAGACTGCCGAGCCGACAAGGAGCACTGATGCAAGAGTTCATCCATACAAAATTAACTCCCTAGGCGTGAATTGAGCAGAAAATAGTTCTCATGACAAGTGTTGAGGCAGCAGTTTGGAAATAGGATTGACACGAAGAACCCCCTCTGCGTTCCCTCGGGGTCAAACCCGAACGTCTTTCCGTGCTGGGGTTACTCCTGCTCCTGATACCGAACGGGTGTTCTTTGGGGTCAAACCCGCTTCGCGACATTCCGCGACATGCAGTAACACCGTATCGCAGATGGACCTGGTTTTCCTGCTTCACCCCACAAATATGTTCGCGAGCATGTGCGATGAATTTGCAAAACGACCTCTTCGCAAATCTTTTGTGTCAGGACCAGAATCTGAGGTTGTATCCCTGGCTAGTGTCAAGATACTGTTGGTGTCAAGCGGGAAATTCGCTTGACACCAGGTGGAGCCGCGCGTGTCAATGTTTCCAACATTGTGCCAACTTCCCGAGCCATCCCAAGCTGACACCAGGAGGTTTAGTCCTCCATGCATTTTCCGAGTTAGTGTCATGACACTAACACTCTTGACACTAGCCAGGGATACGACCTGAGCCAATCATGTCCAACCCTAGCCTCAAGCTCAACTCAACTATCATATGGTCCCAAACCTGCCGATGTTCGGAATTGGAAAAGCGTGAGCCATGCATGCAGCCCACGGCATCACGTCAGCCACACATACAGCCAAACAGTCACATGCAAACTCAGCACCAACCACTTTCTCGTCGCCTAGTCGCAACAGAAAGTAACCCCTCATACTGTTTTCGCTCCGAGCCACATCCCAGTCAACTCCTTCGCCTTCACTAATCGACAAGGCTTCGCCAAAAGGGTTTCCCTAGCTGCGAACAGCTTCCGCCTTGGGATCTCCATCACCAGATGACCAGCACGAGACCACCATGAATCGCCTTATCTGTGTCCAACCTCATCTTCCTCTCCCACTGCATTTCCCCTCTCGTCCTTCCACTTGACACATCCCTCCCTCCTCCTCACCTCATACCTTCCCTCCCTCCCTTCCGTTCAGCATATCATATTTTTCCTCAGGTTTGGTAGGCCTAGCAGGATTACTGCACTGTACTAGGGACTCTCCAGTTAGCAGTTTCAGATTTAGCAGTGTCACTTCTATCGAGCTTGGAGTTTCTGTGCAGTCACCACATCCAGTCCATGGATGACCTAAAGTTTAGCTGAACGTAGGTTCGTAGCTACCAGCGGGAACGAGGAGGGCGACCTAACCCTAGTTCAGGGCCCTGCTCTGTGGGCCCTGGACATAGATTTTGTTTAGGACTTGCGCTTAGTTCCAGGAAGTGAATAGGTGAAAGGGTTCGTTTCATACGAGCGTAGATTAGGTTTGAGCGACCCTTACGAGCTTCGGGCATGGAGCCCAGAATTGCGAACAAGTTTAGGCTAGGGAGAAAAATCGGTAGCGGTTCTTTCGGCGAGATCTATCTCGGTGAGCGTTTGTTCAGCCGTGACTATTTCCGTAAACATCATCTCCCGTTTCCTCGACGCGATTACGTCTCGTTCAAGCTTCATGTCGTTCGCTGTCTCAATATTTCACCTTCCTCTGCTGTTACCTCTCCCCTATTTACATCGTCGACAGGAACGAACGTCCAGACAAATGAAGAAGTCGGCATAAAGCTGGTAACCACTCAGTTTCCCATAGTTTACGACCCCACATCGTAGTTTTCTCCCCTTCTTCTCTATGTCGCTGACGGCTGGCTTCCTTGGCATTCGTTTGTGTAGGAATCGACCAAGACGAAGCATCCTCAGCTACTCTACGAGTCAAAGCTGTACAGGATTCTTCAAGGAGGAAGTGCGTATTCCGAACTTGTAGTTGCCGTCCGCGCGTATATATTTTCCCAAATTTTACCATGCCTTTTGTTTTCGGCGACGCTGTGCGGATTCCACGAATGTTTACGATACCGTCACCTGTATTTCATTGACCACAACTTGACGATACTTTTCGTGCGTTTATCTATTTATCGTTGTCATATTGTCTTCGCTTGATGATGCTATCGCAGCCGGCATCCCGAACATCCGGTGGTTCGGCGTGGAGGGGGACTACAATGTCATGGTCATCGACCTGCTCGGGCCCAGTCTCGAGGACCTTTTCAACTTCTGCGCCAGGAAGTTCTCGCTCAAGACCGTGCTCATGCTCGCAGATCAGCTGGTGGGTGATTAGGTTTGAATCAGCGCAACCGTCTCGTCATCTTCCTCTGGGACCGTGCTCATGCTCGCGGATCAGTTACTCGGTGTTTTCTGCGCCTTCGAGTGTTCTGGTGTGCAAAATTCCGATTCTTACGGAGTGACAGGAGCAGTTTCGAAGGTTTGCTGGTGTATGCAGGTTGAAGCTCTTCGGTTGGTATCGATCGCGGAAGTGACAGTCGACCGGCAGTTACCGAACGGACCGGTAGTTGTGAAACAGAATCCTCGTAACTCGCTGGTAGTTCCATTGACCGCTCGTGTGGAAACGCACTGGTGGTTAGAACGGGCCAGTAGATTCGGACAAACGGGTAGGGGTAGTTCAGAGAGCGTTGCAACGGTGTGGAACCGTGTCTGGTGGTTCGCGGATTAATTCAGTAGTGCGAGAAGGAACGGAGTACGTCGCGGCGGATGTCGCCATCCGTTGTCGCAGGACGTTGTTCGTTATTGAACGTTTCAGCTCTGGAACTTTGGAAGTTTGGCACGCGTTCGGTGTTTCGCGATGGTCGAAGCGGGCAGCGTAGAGACGAGGGCGTGGGATGGGATGGGAAAGGATGGGATGGGTTGGGACCTGATGGAATTATTGTTGTTGCAGCAGCGAAGCGACTGTCACTCATCCGTGGCAGTTCAATCATCTGCAGAAGTTCTGGTTCTCTTCCTGTTTCTCAACCATGGCAGATCAACCGAGTGGAGTACGTGCACTCGAAGCGACATCAAGCCAAACTAACACGAATCCGGTCTGAGTCGATAACTAACTAGACACTTCCGTTCTCCCTGGTTCGCAATTCCCGCAGATCAATCGAGTGGAGTACGTGCACTCGAAGAGCTTCCTGCATCGCGACATCAAGCCGGACAATTTCCTCATGGGGTTGGGCAGGCGCGCCAACCAGGTGTACATCATCGACTTCGGGCTCGCCAAGAAGTACCGCGACCCCACCACGCACCAGCACATCCCCTACAGGTGCGTTGTTTGAGTCGCCTCAGAAGGTTCCTCATGGGGCTGGGCAGGGCTGGGCAGGGCTGGGCAGGCGCGCGAACCAGGTGTACATCATCGACTTTGGACTCACCAAGAAGTACCGCGACTCCACCACGCACCAGCACATCCCCTACAGGTGCGTCCATGCGTCTGCGCGTCGTTACGTCCTCGCTGCATCCTTTCTCCATCATTTTTGCATCCTTTTGCGAGAGATTCGGTGCGTCCTCTCTGCCTCCTCTCTGTCTCACGCTCGCGCCCCAATCCCCCCACTCTTTCCCCTATTCCTCCCAATTCGTCTTCTCTTGCTTGCCCCTTGCCAGATCTTTGTCCCCCCCACCCATTGCATCCCACTCCCCACTTCCCCCCCTCCCGGTGCCCTGCCTCTGCATCTATCCCTCTATCCACGCTAACTCGCGCTCCTCTCGTGTTGGTGTGCTTCGCGTGTGCTCTCCCGTTGCCTCTCCCCGCGCGTTGTGGTTCTCTCCTCTCCTCCCGCTCTTGGCCGCGCCCTCCTCTCCTCCCGCTCTTGTCCGCGTTCCGTTGGTGTGCGTGCGTGGTTTGGCGGGTGTCGTGGTGCAGAGAGAACAAGAACCTGACGGGCACGGCTCGTTACGCCAGCATCAACACACATCTCGGCATCGGTATGTGCCTACCGTCTCCTCGCCCCTGCTCTCCCTCACCCTCCGTCCCTGCTCTTCTCGCCCCTCGCCCCTTGCCCCGGCTCTCCTCTCATCCTTGTCTCTGGTCTCTTACGCTCGTCGTCATGGGAACACAACACACTGTGCTCAGACGCTCATGTCCCCCAATCCGTGCGCGTATCTTCACGTGTGTGAGCAGAGCAAAGCCGGAGGGACGACTTGGAGTCGTTGGGCTATGTGCTCATGTACTTCCTTCGAGGAAGGTGCGCTTCTGGCCTGGCCATTAGGTTGCCTGAGGAACCAGGACCTTAACTTCTTTCATTGACCTGCCAGGACCGTTTTTTTTCTGCTTGTGCCTTTGTTTTCTTTGGGGCGCTTTTTTCCCCTAGGACTGTCCGTTTCGTTGCATGCTCAGGTGCTTCGTTCAAGGATGTAGCGATTAACTGTTGGGCTAGTTTTGTCAGTCACGTTGTTGTGTGCTCCATGGCGTGGTGTGACTTTTGAGTCAGCTCAAAGCCACTTTGTAACAAGGAGGGCTTCTGTTGGGCTGTCTGTTGACGCGCCTGTTTGTTGTGTTGTGTTGTGCAGCTTGCCATGGCAGGGTCTGAAGGCGGGTACCAAGAAGCAGAAGTACGAGAAGATCAGCGAGAAGAAAATGTCAACCCCCATCGAGGTGTGTATATAGTTCTGTGAATTATTTGTCGTTTCATGTCAACTCCCACCGAGGTTACCATGTAAGAATGTGTTACTGCAACTCACCGTCACCCATCACCTCACTAGTATCTCCTCTGCAAGGGCTACCCCACGGAGCTCGCGTCCTACTTCCACTACCCTGCAAGTGTTATTACATTGTACCCACACGGATGCTGCCTGTTTCTTTTTTTTGCCCCACCCCGATCCCCGTCCCCTCCATCCCCGCAGGTCCTCTGCAAGGGCTACCCCACGGAGCTCGCGTCCTACCCACACTGCCGCACTTCCTTCCTGAAAAGCTGTCGTTCCGCTCCCCCTTGGCTGCCACCTCTCCACCCACACCCCGCCACCAGGTGCTCTGCAAGGGCTATCCCACGGAGCTCGCGCCCTACTTCCACTACTGCAACGTTTCTTTCATGTCCCCACCCCAACCCGTCCCCCACACCCGCCACCAGGTGCTCTGCAAGGGCTACCCCACGGAGCTCGCCTCCTACTTCCACTACTGCCGCTCGCTGCGCTTCGATGACAAGCCCGACTATGCGTACCTCAAACGCCTCTTCCGCGACCTCTTCATTCGCGAAGGTAGGTGTGTTGTGAGGGTTGGGTTGACGTCAGCACCACCACCAGTACCACAGTCAACACCACCATGTCAACGAGCCCGACTATGCATATCTCAAACGCCTCTTCCGCGACCTCTTCATTCGTGAAGGTAGGTGTGCTGTGAGGGGTGTTATGCGTCCGCCGAGTCAACTCCCGACTCCATGTCATGTCACTACCTGTTATTGGTAACTGCATGTCATCATTCACCCTGCCCTGTCATGCCATCATTGCGCCAACATGCCACAACTCCCCTCAACATGCCATCAACCCCCCCACCAGGGTTCCAGTTCGACTACGTGTTTGACTGGACCATTCTCAAGTACCAGCAGTCGCACGCCCCTGTTGCTTGTCATAACCCACCCTTGTCATGCGATGCCATCACCCGCCCCAACATGCCATCCCACAACCCGCCCCACCAGGCTTCCAGTTCGACTATGTGTTTGACTGGACCATTTTCAAGTACCAGCAGTCCCAGGCCTCCGTTACCTCGCCTTGTCGTAACCAACCCTGACATGCCATCACATCACACCCCTCACCATGCCATCACCCTGTGCCGCAACCCCCCCCACCAGGGTTCCAGTTCGACTACGTGTTTGACTGGACCATCCTCAAGTACCAGCAGTCCCAAGCCTCCGTCGCCCCAGCCCGCATGATGGTACGCCCTACTCCCCATCCATCTCCACTCCCCATCCATCTCTGCTCCCTATCCCAACTCCAAGCTCTGCTATGCCCTTCAGCTAAGTTCTCTTTTCTTGATTGACTTCGCTAACTTGACTTGGTCCTTTGGCTTGCCGATGCCAGCATCCTTAGGTGAATAAACGGCTGTGCTCTGCCTTGCATGGTTTCCCCACGTGCTACAGCCGTTCGTTCCGCATTCTCTCGGTGTAACTCCCCATGTTTGTGTGTGTTGGGCCTACGTGCGTGTGTCTGGGGTTGTGCGTATGTGTGTGGATGGGGGGTGCGAGGGGGGGTGTGTGCGTGCATGCCTGTGTTAAAATGCTCGCTTTGGGTGTTGCCTTGTTCGTGTGTGCTCGCCTGTGCAGGGTGCAAATGCGGCAACAGCAGCGCCATCACCAGCTGCCAATGCACCAGGTCTGATTTGGCTTCACGTTGGGCACCTCCTCTCACTTCTCTAAATTGGTTTACGTCATTCGCTTTCCATTGTCCCACCTATCCCTCCCCTCCTGCTGACCCCGTCCTCCCTGAGTCTCCTTCCCCTCCCTTCCTCCCTCTTTCCACCCACATGTCTCTCTTTTGCTTGAATGCCTCTCATCCTCCAAATGATCCTCACTACTCGCTTCCATCACCCCCCCCGCCCCCCCTCTCCCGTCCATCTTCCGTTGCTTCAATCCCACATCTAGATTCGCGTGCATTCATCAGTCCAGTTCAGAGCATTCACCTTCCATTTTGTACAAAAGCCACTCACTTTCGTCTTCCCCTTCTCCCCCCCCTCCCCCCGCTCCCCTGTTCCACTTTCCCCCGCCTGTCCGCCCCTCCAGACGCGGACTTGGCTCGCCGCAGGTCGCCCATGGAGAGCCCCCGGCACCGGAGTCCCATGCCGCATGCTGACGAGGAGGTGAGAGACTGGTTAGCGGGCTGATAGGCTCTGGTGTGTGGGGATCTGTGCTCATGAAGAAGGGCAGCAGTAGGCAAGGTCGCCTTTAGCAAAGGAATGATAGTCAACCAGTGAAAAAAGTAACCCTCGAAAAAATTGATTAAGATCCGAACGTACAACTCAGTTCAAACTCTAGACGAAAGCAAACATGTTTCGGCTTTGCACGGGGATCATACCCGCTAGGCCTTCATCAGTGCAAGAGTTCAAAGTGAAAGAGCGAACAAGCAAGGGGTCTTAAAGAACACCCAAGCCTCGAGATCTACACAGGGAAATCCTACCCCGGGCACGTAACTAGATAAGAAATGCGCCAACTAGACACAAAAGAAAATTCCTAGGTGTCCAGTCACTCTTCGGGTTTGTCTTCGGCAGTCTTGGAATTGGGTGGTGGTAACCTCGCGCGAACCAGGCACTGTTGCACGTTACGTGCACACTTCCAAGCAACAAGAATTCGATCAATATAAAAATTGCGGGTAGAGAGACGACTTTTGAGGCGCCTCAAAAGTACCCCTAATTTGAGACGGGCAGTCACAGGTGTGAAAACCGTCTTCAAAACTAGGGGCCCGCGTGATGAAGTTGAATCCTGTTGCTTGAGTAAGTGCCCCGCCAGGGTTTTTTTATGCAGCTTCGGTAGGATGTAAAATGCCGCTGGTTTCCAGCCCCCGCTAGGTTGATGTAAGAAATACCTCCATAGACTATCTGGAAGAGCAGGGCCCCATGCCACCTGAAGTGTGCGCAGTTGCTGGAAGACAGAATCTGTGGGATTGGAGAAGACTGGTTCGTAGGTGCTCCGGTCGTCGAGATGATCCAGACACAGCCTGACGTAGTGCTCCCTGTCTAACACCGTCACCCCCAAGTTCTTATCCGCCGGTTTAATCACCACGTTGCGGTCGGCTGCAATGGAACGCAGAGCCTGGGCGACGCCGAACGAGATGTTCCGAACACGCCTCGGTTTGTTAGCTTTCAACAGGACAGAAAGGTCAGAAACCGTTTCTTTGAAAACCTGCTCTGGAATCGGATTCACATCAGGGACCCAACCGGGATTCCGTACACGAAAACGCGAACCCGCCGCTGAACCACCTGACTCGTTGAAGAAAAAGTGAAGGGAAACCTGTCGGAGTAGCTGATCGAGTTCCACTCCGGAGGAAAGGGATCTGGCGGGCGTTGGTATGAACTTCAAACCCAACCCAAGCGCCGTCTTCTCGTCAGGAGACAAGATTCTGGTGCTCAGGTTGTGTACTCCCTGGTTCAGTATGCGCGACGTCGCCTGCCGATACGTCATGCGACCGAACCAGCGGAGAGCCAAATCATGGCTCGTTACTTGTTGCGCGGCCCTTTTCCGGGGCCGCCTCCGCCGTTTTTTGGACCCTTGGCGCTGGATTTGTCGTTGTTGTTGGCGCCTTTCCCCTGCTGCCCGTCGTCACCGTTGGAGTTCTGCGTTTTCGGCTTCTTAGCTCCGCGCTTCCTTCTCGACTTCGAAGGCGCATCGTTCTTCTCCTTCTTAGCCTTGGAGTCCGCGTTGGAGGCTGTCGTAGGTTCCTGTTCACCCAGAGAGAGCTCCTTCTTGAACTTCTTCGATAGCTTGGCTTCAACACTCGCTGTGATCTCCCTGTGAAGCTGATCCGCCATCTTCTTAGTGTGGTTCTTCAGGATCTCCTCCATCGACAGCTCTGTATCCATCTCCTTCAGTTCCTCCGCGGCAGCGGCTTTCTTCAAGTCCTCAGCGGCCTGCTTTCGCTGTCGATCCAGTTCTCGGATGACGATCTCATCCTTAGCAGCAGCAATCTCAGAGTTCACCTTTTCGATGCAGCGTCCCTTCAAGCGACGAAATCGCTCCTTGGCGGCGTCAGACACCACCAGCTCTGGGTCGGCGGAAAGGCTTTGTATGTACTCCTCGAGCTTTGTTGCCAAAACCGTGACATGCGAGTTGCTCGCTGCCAGAATTTCCTCGACCTCCGCTTCTTTAGACGAAATGAAATCCGCCTGGAGACGTTTCTGGTTCTCCAGATGCGTTGCTGCGACGAGCCCTGCAGATTTCTCCTTGATGGTGGCGTACTTTGTCTGGAACTCCACCGCCTTCGTGCGGATACTGTGAAGTATCTCGCCCTTGTCGTTGAGCTCCTTCATCTTTTTCAGTTTCGCCTTCGCCTTCAGATATGGCTTGTAGTCGTCCCGAAAGCCCTTAACTGTAGACAGCGACCATCCCTTGAACGGCTCAGGGATTGGAGTAACGTCAGCAGTAGCTTCCGTCGCGAACGCGCACGAACGACCCGACGAGCCAGCAGCGGGAAGAATTTCTGGTTGCTTCTCAATGAAACGATCATCGCGGACCAGTGGCAAGGGAGGGAACGTAGAACCCGCAACGCGATACTGCTTCTCAGCAGAAAAACCCGGGCGGCCAGACGAACCCCCACCGCGAGATGAATTCTTAGAGTGACGTCCCTTCATACCGGCCTCTTCTTCCGAAAGAAACTTTTCAAAGTCCCACGGATCTGTGCTCATGAAGAAGGGCAGCAGTAGGCAAGGTCGCCTTTAGCAAAGGAATGATAGTCAACCAGTGAAAAAAGTAACCCTCGAAAAAATTGATTAAGATCCGAACGTACAACTCAGTTCAAACTCTAGACGAAAGCAAACATGTTTCGGCTTTGCACGGGGATCATACCCGCTAGGCCTTCATCAGTGCAAGAGTTCAAAGTGAAAGAGCGAACAAGCAAGGGGTCTTAAAGAACACCCAAGCCTCGAGATCAACACAGGGAAATCCTACCCCGGGCGCGTAACTAGATAAGAAATGCGCCAACTAGACACAAAAGAAAATTCCTAGGTGTCCAGTCACTCTTCGGGTTTGTCTTCGGCAGTCTTGGAATTGGGTGGTGGTAACCTCGCGCGAACCAGGCACTGTTGCACGTTACGTGCACACTTCCAAGCAACAAGAATTCGATCAATATAAAAATTGCGGGTAGAGAGACGACTTTTGAGGCGCCTCAAAACTGGTTGACTATCATTCCTTTGCTAAAGGCGACCTTGCCTACTGCTGCCCTTCTTCATGAGCACAGATCTGATAGGCTCTGGTGTGTGGGGGGAGTTGGGGTTATGGAACGCCTTCGGAGAGCATGGAGAGCCCCCGACACCGGAGCCCCATTCCCTTGGACGAGGAGGTGAGGGGGATTGGGTAGCGGGTTGATAGGCTGCGTCCATACTGGTGCGGCGGAGCGCCATGCGTTCAGGCGGTTGGGCAGGCAGTGGGTCAGGGCGGGTCGGGGGGCGGGTCGGGGGGCGGGTCAGGGGGCATGCAGAGTCTCACATGAAGAGCCATACAGGGTACTGCTGTCAATACGAGCACTCGGCTCTGTGGACTCACCTCCCCTTTTCCAGCACCATGCATATGGGCGGCTGGACGGGCAGCGGGTCAGCAGCGCGCAGAGCTCCACATGAAGCTGATTTGATGTTCATGGCATTGGCATTCACCACACCTGCTCTCTGCCGCCTCCCCCCTCCTTCCCCTCCCCCTCAGGCGGAGGCGGAGCGCCATGCATATGGGCGGACGGGCAGCGGGTCAGGGGCGCGCAGAGCCGCTGCTGCTGCCGATGCTGTCTTTCAACACACACACTCCCCCCTGCGGTTCTTCCCCTCTCCCCTTCCGCCCCCCCCCAGGCGGAGGCGGAGCGCCATGCATACACGCGGACGGGCAGCGGGTCAGGGGCGCGCAGAGCGCCTGCTGCTGGCGGGATGGCGCCCGCACAGGCAGCAGCGGGGGCAGGGGGCGTGCGGGGGAGCACACCGGACGCGCTGGATAGCAAGCGAGGGCTGGGACTGACTAACGCGCTGTCAGGGATTCGCTCGGGGTCGCGCGTTCGCACTGGTGAGCTGGGGTTGGTTCTTGGTGGTGGTGCTTGCTGGTGGTGCGAATAATGGTAGAGCATGTGCTTGGTTGAATTCACATTCTTATTTTTTTTCAAAAACAGTTTTTTTTCGCAGATTGGAACCCCTTTGGGGCATTGTTCCCCGTTGATGGCCGATATTGCTTCCATCACTAACCTCTCTCTGTCCCCCTTTTCCCCACACCCTCCCTCCCGTCCGCCTCCTCCCCTGCTCCACTCCCCACCACACCACCCACTTCACAATCCTCTTGCCCACCAATCCTGGTGTTGAGCAGGCCAGGGTAGCGGGCATATGTGGCAGTGGTAGGTTACTTTTGATTCAACTAAAAAATCGGTTTCCCTTCCTCATCCCCCCACCAATCCTGGTGTTGAGCAGGTCAGGGAAGCGGGCACGTGTGGCAGTGGTAGGTAGGATCGCACCTGCCTGTTTATGCGATAGCCAGAGGCATGTAGGCGATGGGGGACGTGCTGCATGGGGGACGTGCTGCATGGGGGACGTGCTGCATGGGGAAGGGAGGTACCATAGGGGAGGGAGCTGTGATGGGGCGGCACCTGCTTGTTCCACAACAGAGTGTTTGGATACGAGCCGCAAAGCTGGGGAGTGCAAGGAAGCGGACTGCAGATGTGTTGCATAGGGGATGGAGAGTGGGGACGGCGGCACAGGAGGGGGAAGAGGGGAAGGCGAGCTGCAAGATTGTGGGGTGCGAGATTCGCACTACGGGCGTGTGTGTGGGTGCAGTAGGTCACGTGGCGCAGGGAGGGAGGTGCAGAGGTTGGTTCATGGGGGCAGTGGATGTAAACATTGTGAATCAAGCCCATGGTGTGTGGAGGAGCGGCTGCCAGGGGGGTTGGTTCTCTTGCCAACTAAAACATCTCCCTTACACCGGTACCTCCCTGTGTTGCCCTACTGAATTACTAGCAGTTTTACGATGGGATCATGGGAGGGGCTGGGGTGAGAGTGAGAGGAGGAAGGAGATGGAAGGAGGGTCGGGGGCGGGCAAGCAGGATAGGGAGGAGCATTCAAGACATTGGTTAAGGATGAGGGGGGATGATATGGCAAGGCACACATATTCAGGTTACAAGACCTGACATGCATCGGTGGAAGCTTCGCCAGCTACTCTGATCATCTGATGCCTGTAGCAGATAGTATTCACACGCTGGTGTATTTAGATAGGCTTCGCTGCTGCAGCTGCCCCTGCTGCTGCTGCTGCTGCTGCCGCTGCTGCTGCCGCTGCTGCTGCTGCCGCTGCTGCTGCTGCTGCTGCTGCCGCTGCTGCTGCCGCTGCTGCTGCTGCCGCTGCTGCTGCTGCTTCTTGGCTGCTGCTGTATGGTGTACAAGTGAGGCCCCAGCAAGGCAGAGCAAACAGAGAGGAATGTGGATGGTTACACCTGGTGACATGCATGCTCACCTGCTGCTTCTTCCTGTGCTACCCTTGCTGCTGGATGGGGTCTGTGGATGATAATCGCATCTGCTTTTCAATTGCCCTTACACCTGAAACGAGTCCTATTCTTACTGGCCAAGAGCGCAGGGCACGTCTCGAATTCCTTCTCTGGCCCGTACAGGCTTCATTCGTTTTCTTTCTTTTCCGTTTCGCTTCATTGTTCTTCTACCTGCCATTCCTGCTGCATGGGTCCCTAAGTCAAGTAGGGATACCTGCTCACGACTATCCTGCGGATGCTAGGATGTCAACCTGCATTATGATGGTGCTGTGCTGTGCGGTGGGGTCGTGGAGGGGGGCTTTATCTGGGGGATTACTGTATTCTGTTTTTGTGAATGTTTGGCCTAATGATAATGAAATGCTTCGTGCGCCTGATTTACTTCTTTTATTGGTCCCATTGTTGTATTGAATTGATGAGTAGTGGTCTGAACTGTGAATGTGAAATTTGTTTTTTACGCTGCCAATGTGCAGGCAGGCTTGTCTTCACCAGGCATTCCACTCAGCAATGCATGAGTGTCATTTACGGATGTCCTGATCACTCCATTGTCATTCTTTACGCACATACTTATGCTATCAATGGTACAGACAGTTGTTCAGAACACGACCACACCAGATTGACTCGCGCAACAGCAAAAAGTAGTAGGTAGTTGGCGAAATAGCATGAATGAAAGAAGACATCAAAATGTGTCTAGGCGAAGACATTTCAGCGAATCCCCCCTCAATCATGTCAAACAGAGAAGCAGCAGTGCAGCAACCTAGCAGCATTCAAGAAAGGCTGCCTGCCTCGCTTCCTCAAGCCACATGCTAGCAGTGGCTCACTGCAGGAAATTAGCCAGGCGCAGAGACACAGCAGAAGGGGACTTGGCAGGAGAGCGAGCAGCTTTATCCATCTTCTTCCGCCCAGAAGCAGTCATCTGAGAGGGGCTCGTGTCTGCAGTCGCCATAAGCATGCGCATGTTGATCGGCCCCGGCTTAGTCCCAGGCTTGAGCGCACTGCCTTTCGGCTGGGAAGCAGGTGGTGTGCGCACCGCAGGAGGCGGCACCGGGCCTCCCTTCGCCATCTCCAAGTTGCGGCTCAGAACGAATTTTACCTTTTTCTTCCGCTTGCCTGCGCCGCCCGCCTTTCCCGCCGGGGCTGACTGCACGCCGACTGCTGCAGCGTCTGTTCTCTCGTCTTTGGATCGGGTTACCGGACCTCCTGCCTCGCTCCCTGCTACGGCAGCAGCAGCTGCTTCGCCTGCAGCCATGATCCGAGCACCCACGCTCCCAGCTCCTGTGGCGAGATCCTGGGGGAAATCAAAGGATGAAAAGGCGTCTATGATGTCCTTTTCTGGCGTGCGGAACCCGTCTGCTTCATCCTCGTCTACTGCCCCGCCGCCGCCTGGTCCTTCCGTCTTGGCGTTTATGGACAGATGCGGGTGCACCAGTCCTGATCGTAGGCTGGCTGTTGACCCGGTGGGGGCAGGGCCTGATGCTGTTGTTGTTTCAACAGACGCGTCTCCGTCTGCTGCAGCTGCTTGACCCTGCACCGTCTGCTGGCCCTCCTTCTCGGCAATCTCTATGCCTACAGACGTCAGCGGGGTTGTCTCTGCTTCCTTGGTCACGGCATCCCTCTTTCCCTTGCGCTTCTTGCCTGAACCACTGCCCTCCTGCGGCTGCTGCTGCTGCTGCTGCTTCTGCTGTTCCTTCTGCTGCCGTCTCTTGCGCTTGGAGGTCGAGTTCGGCTGCTTTTCACCACCCGCATCAGCAGACTCAGCCACGACTCCATTACTTACACTCCCGCTGGGTTTATCTGCTCTTTCCTCACCATGCTCCCCACAATCATCCTCCACCTTCGCGCCGTTCTGCTGTTCCGTTTCAGCTTTCGCGTCCTGCTCTTCCGCGTTCTCCGCTTCCCCGTCCTCCGCTTCCCCGTCCTCCTCTTCCCCGTCCTCCTCTTCCCCTGAACCCTCCCCTGAACCCTGTCCCTCTGCTTCTCCCTCCTCCTCTTCCCCTTCTTCCATCTCTTCTCCCTCACCATCACCAGCGTCGTCCTTTCCGCCAGCACCATCCTCATCTAAACCCTGCATATCATCACCATCTTCCTCCTCCCCATTTTCCCCTGCTTCCGCAGCCGCACTGCCAGACAGCTCGTTTATCAGCGCTGTGAAAATCGCCTGTCCTTTCCGGAGCATGCTTTTCTTTTTCCCTTTCGCCGTGCCGTGCGCTGCTTCGATATCAGCGGACATCTCTCCCGCCGCCTCTTGAAGCGCAGCCACGTACGAAGCATTGCTTGAGTTTGCCTTTGCTTCGTTCCGTAAATATTCCGCCAGACCCGAAAACACGGAACTCAGAGTCCGCTTGTGCAACCGTCCGTCCTCCTTCGTTTGAATCACACCCACCACTGGCTTCGAAAATTGCAGAACAGCCTTCACCACTTTGACGTCAACCCCTCCAGACTTTTTAAAGAGCTCGTTGAAAATATCAAGTATATGCAGTTCGAGACCGATAGCCCGATACTTGTCCTTAGCAAGAAGCCCCTGTTGCATGACGCACGCAGCAAGATCCGAAACCACCTCTTCTTCCCACTCCCGTTTCTCCAAAAACTCGAGAATATTCCGCATGACCAGGCGGACGAGCATATAGAATTTATCCAGACGATGGTAGTCGATTCCTCCCCATTCCCGTCGCATCGTCTTCCAGAAGGTTCGCAGAAACAGCAGCGCGAGGTCAGGATCGAGCGAGATCAGAATACCGGACATTCTTTCCGCGAGGTTCGCCTGGACAGGCGGTTTGTCCGAATGCCACATGCAGTAGAACAAGCCCTTCCAGATTTTCAGGAGGTCTTCTTCGGCGATCTCCTTGCGAGCGATAAGCCATCGTGACAAGACCTCGAACGCCTGGTCCCTCGTCTCCTCATCGCTCGCCGCTAACCGTCGCATGAACTTGGACTTCACGGAAACCTCATCCTTAGCTGATTTCGAAACCATGGCTTTGTCCAGTGCTTAGCCGGGCATTCCAGGATTCACCGCCTGTTACACCACGCTAAAGCCTGTCCCAAAAATAAGGGGCCTGGTCTGAATGTAGGCAGGGCCTGATCCGTGATCAGGAAAATAAGGAGACTTATCTTCCCAATTCTCCTGACAGCAGAAGTGGAAGAACTTGAAGCTTTTCCTTGAAGAGCCATTCAAGGTTTCTCTAAAGGACAACTCTAAGGTTTCTCCAGACTGGTGGTTTTCCGAATCACAGATGTCTTTTCCGAAGTACATCAAGCCTGCCCCTGCCCAAGATTGTTTTCTAGAATGTGATGTTTTTAAAGTTTGGGAAATTGGACCCATATCTGGTGTGAAAGGGGGATTTACTGGTTGAGGGGACGAGCACCTTACTAGGAAAAACTGGTCGGGCATGGAAAAATACATCTGGAAAATGTTGCGGTCCGACGAAACATTTGATTACGTGGTGAGAAAATTCTGGAATTTCACTGACCTACCTTGGACGCGGGAAGAAACCCGTTTGGCTCAGAACTGATCCACGGTTCCGGAATTTGAGGAATCATTGTGCACTTTTCAGCTAGCAGTGTCTACAGTTGCTTTTCCCAATCACCGTGCTGCAACTTTGACTCGCGATACTATTTTCTGGTATTCATCCAAGCACTTGCATTCATCTACTTTTACAGTTGCGGAAACGAATCAGTTCTTTGCGAACTGGAATTCCCTAGGCTCCCAACATAAGTCACCATCATATCTTTAAACCATTTTCACCTAGAAGAATCTAGACTTTCCATCGTTACCTCCTATCCTAAACCAGCTGAAGCAACTTTAGGTCTCTAGTTCAGTTTCTTATCCCACTGCTAGTCTACAATCTACGATCGCTTGCGTTCTTCCGTTTTGACTTTGGTTTGTTGCGGTCGTAGTGGGGTGAGGGTAGAAGAATGGCGGATTCCCAGGCCTGCTTGCTTTTGAAGAAGCAACTGAGAGGTGATTAACCAACGGGTTGTTTTTCCGTGGAGCTGCGTTATATGGGTCGACGTGAAACAGCTCTGATGGATCTTCTGTGACGGTGAAACATGTCGTTCGATTCCGTACTTAGTCGTTTTCGTAATCCTTTGCGCAGATTTGCTTAAGAATCCCGTCGACGGGTTCTCTGCGGGTCTCGTGGACGATTCTAATCTTTTCGAGTGGCAAGTCACGATCATTGGCCCGCCGGATACCCTCTAGTACGTGTTTACCAGATTCTGATTCGTTAACCCTTTCCCGCTTATCCGACCGGTACATGTGATTAATCAGACCGGTACATGTGATTAATGGATTGTTTTCGGTTTGGCAGTGAGGGTGGGTTCTTCAATGCAATCATGAGCTTCCCAAACAACTACCCCAACAGCCCACCGCAAGTCCGCTTCACGTCGGAAATGTGGCATCCAAACGGTGAGTTTTTGTTGTATGAAACCGGTGAGCCCCCATTGTATCGAAGAGGTTAGTCCCCGTTAATTCTTCGTTTTATTAGTCGATGGCAAGCTCAGGCCTTTCGCTTTCGGGGTCGATTCTCCATTCTCCTGCTTCCATGACTCACATCGGGTGTTTGTTTGACGAGTTAAAGCATTTAGGAGCTGAGCTTGTGTCCTGGTTAGACTTCATAAAGCTGCTGCTTGCGCTCATCGGTATTGAGAGAATGATGAATTATGCCGTTGGTTCTTCTATATGGTATGCACTATTCGTTCTTCTCCATGGCAGTCTACCCCGACGGCCGGGTGTGCATATCGATCCTGCACGCACCTGGCGACGACCCCAATGGATACGAGCTGGCAAGCGAACGCTGGTCGCCCGTGCACACTGTAAGCTCCTTTTCGTTTTTCTCTTGAGTGAGCTCGTTTGTCTCCCTGGCACACGGTAAAGTCCCTCTCATATCCTGTTGGTTCAGATTCGTGTGTTCCCCGAGCACAGTGTCAGCTCCACTCTGGGGCCTTTGGGTAGGTTTTGAGAGTCATCTATCCACGCAGGTGTATGTCAGTTTTGGGGGTACTGGGTTACTGGAGCATGGGTTCCTCAAATCGTTCCGTGCTTATGTTTTTCCTTGGCAGGTGGAGACCATCTTGTTGAGCATCATCTCCATGCTCTCTAGCCCCAACGACGAATCGCCTGCTAACATTGACGCAGCGGTGAGCAGTGTGATCTGAGCTCCGCATCACCGTTTCGTTATGTTGCTCTGTTGCTGGGTTGCTGTGCTGCTGGATTGCTGTGTTGCTGGGTTGCTGTGTTGCTGGGTTGCTGTGTTGCTGGGTTGCTGTGTTGCAAAGCTACAGTCATTGTGTGAGCTTGCCTCACACCAGTCCTCGTGCCAGTGCCTTGCCTCCTATTGTCCCATCACATTCTTGCTCACTTCTCCCTCTTGCCCTCTCACTCTTCTCTCACCAACTTGCCTTTCCCTTGCGCCTTCCCTTTCAACTCATACCATCTCCCCTCATGCACCTTTTTCACCCGGTCTTCCCATTCTTTCGCTCACTTACTCTCTTTTGCCCTTTGCGTTCCTCACTCTCGTTCACTCCTCCCCATTTACCTGCTATATGTCTTCTGCCGCCAGCCACATGCTCACGTGCACTTTTGTCTGATCGGTACCCCTTCGTGTGGTTCAATGCCTGAGCTGTGCCCTTGTCCCTTTTTGTTTTTTTTTTAATATACAGAAAGAGTGGCGGGAGACACGTGACGTGTTCAAGAAGAAAGTTGGCAGATGTGTAAGAAAATCACAAGAAGATATGTGACCTTGCATGGGACATCCGTATTAAAGTGTGTAGGCTTTTTGGTTAGGTGAAGGTGTTAGTCTAGAGCCTTGCCCTATGTTGTAAGTTCCACCTTTTTTAGGAGAAAGTATTAGTTAGGAAACTGACGTTACCCAATGCATATGGAGTTTGGTGAGTGATCCTTAAACACTACACTGCTTCTGTGGATTTGTTGGTCTTGTCTAGCTAGACCTAGTATGAACTATTACAGTATTCATCGATGTAAGATTCGGTACATTAAAACTTCACAATCTGGGAATCTTCTTACCCTTTTCACTCTGCTTCAGCTCAAGGTTTTGCACGTGCATTATGTGCGAGGCAGACCACTCCCAGTAATTGGCATTTGCAGGGGAATGAAAGGTGAATGCACATATTGCCATCCGTACAATGTGTGATATCGGTACCACTTTCATCTGTCCTGCACCTCGGTAATAGCTGTTGGAAACAATCGGCAGGCTTCGACCCAAACATGATGGAGAAATTCTTCTCCTTCATGTCCTTCTACGAGTAACAACAGCAAGCAGCTCCTGCGCAATCAAACAACAGCAACAACAACAGAGCAACACCGATGAGTGTTGATGGTTCATCGTACTCGCGCGGAAATCAACAACCTACCTTTGCTCCGTATGAGCCTCAACGCGGCTCTGTTAGTTTCGCGCCGCAGCCGCAGTCTTCACCTGGACAAGAGAAGACACTGGACGCGCTTCAGGTGCAATCGCAATTCGCACATGCTCTCAAATTGCAAACATCAACGCCTTTCGACGGGAAGGATTTTTATACATGGTCTTTTGAATTTGAGCTGATGATGGAAGGCGCGCAAATCCTCGGATTCTTCGACGGGTCCCTGCCATATCCAGTACACGGGACACAGTACGACAAGCAACAATATACGTATCAGTCGCTGATGGCGTATACGATACTTCTTCGAAACTTAACGCCAATCGAGCAACAAAACATCCGGTCTTATCGAGGATACGGCAACTCCGCCGAGCTGGCATACGACCATTTGAAGAGCCTGTATCAAGCAACAGACAGCGTTAACCAGAGTCGACTCATGGCACAGTTGACAACAGTGGAAATGAAACCCGGCGAAAAGGGAATGGCTTATATTAGCCGTTGTCGCGGACTGCGCGATAGACTCCTTCGGTGCGGAGGATCAATTTCGGAAGAAGCATTTGTAACAGTCATCATCGCTGGCCTTGGTCCTCATTGGCGCTCCACTAGAGCACTTCTTCGAGCTCACGGGAAGATCTCCGAAGCAGCACTCTGCGCCAAAATTCACGCAGAACAGCAAGACATGGACCTGCACGAAGAACGACACAAGAAGAAAGCATTAGCACCGGGGTTCGCCTTCCATACTCAACGACGCTACAACAACAACAACAACCGACACAACAACCGACAAGTACAACAATACGTTTGTCACCTTTGCAAGACGTCTGGTCATCCGCGCACACATTGCCCGAATCAGCAGCAGTTGACAACACCGCAACGTCAACTTCGGCCTTCAAGCAGCCAAGTAACTTTTACCGAGGCGCAACCCACCAGTCAAGTGCAACATTCAACATCTTCAGCATCGCAATCTGCACAAGGAACGAGAAACATCGTCAGCTGCATGACAAGAACGACGGAATCCTGCATCACCGGATCACCACCCTACTACTCACCAGAAGACCAAATTGATGAAAGGACTCCCCGCCGCGAATCACTGAAGCCCAATCCAACATATGCAGCTGTCGCCCAAAGCGAGCCGTCCGGGCAAGACACCTGGTTCTTGGACAGTTGCTGCGGACAACACATGTGTTCTTCAAGTCGCTTCGTTCAACAAGAACACCAACTTCAACGCGAAGTCGTCATCACCGTGGCCAACAACCAGAACCTGCACACACGACGACAAGGCGTAGTACAACTTCAATCCCGAGAAACCAACGTCATCCTACAAATGTCTAAAGTACTGACTGCAGAAGGACTTGGCTACAACTTAATGAGCGTTAGCCAACTGATGGCGAAGGGGATCCATCTTGAAGCAGACAGCACCACACTGGAGTTCAAAGTTTTCCACGGTAGAGGAGGACTATACATCGGCAAAGCGGTCTTGAAAAATAACGTCTTCGTCCTCGACTTTGTACCAGATCAAGGAACCGCCGATAGTGACGCCATCGTCAACTTCGCCTCTTGGACGCACCCACCGGACCTCGACCCCGACTTCAGCCCTGGAGGATTCTGGTATTCACATACCATACCTGAAGCAGAAAGAACACGGGCATTAACAACAATCCGACAAGAAGAGACAACATCGTCAGCAGCAGAGACAACATCGGCAACACCAACAACACTTACAACACCACTCGCAAGTTCTTCGATGGCACCAACACTCATCGACGACTCTCCACCGACTCCTGCGCAGCAGCTAGCTCCCACCCCACGTGAAGTTCAGAGAAGCACCAATTTCACCGCGGGTTTTTACTCCAACTCCTACCTGTATAGGCGCTCACCCGGACATCGTGCAAGTGAGTCCCTGTGGCATGAATGACTGGGTCATCCAAGCAACACCACGTTAAATAACACAATCAAGGCAGCAGTGCTCGACAAAGACTCACTACTTCTACCCGACGGCAGAGAACTCCAACGATTCCGCGGAACATGCTTTACCTGTCCCGAAGCCGACTTACCACATCAACCGTTCGCCTCTCACCACAATCCAAGCGCGCCAGCTTATGCACCACTCGATAACGTATACAGCGACGTTCTGTTTACTCGAGAACAAGGACAAGGCGCATATCATTACGTAATCACTTTCATCGACGCCGCCACCCGTTACGTCTGGCACCTTAATCTTCCAAGTCGCGACATGGCCTTCGAAGCCTTCATCGCCTGGCTACCTGTGGCAGAACGAGAATCGGGCGCAAAGCTGAAAAGCTTCCAGTCTGACGGAGGAGGGGAATATCAGTCCCAGAGGTTCAGGCAGTACCTTGCAGCACGAGGCATCAAGCGACTCATCTCGTTTCCCTACGCCCATCAACAGCAAGGCGTGGCTGAACGGATGAACAGAACTATCCAGAACACCATGCGCAAACTGCTGCGTGGCATGCGACTGCCCAATCACCAGTGGCCTGAGGCGATGGACCACGCTGTCATGCTGCACAACTTGCTTTCGTCGTCGTCACTTCCGAACAATGCATCACCGCACCTACTGTGGACAAGAAAGTTGGGCAACACAAAAATGTTATGAGTCTTCGGGTGCATGGTACAGTATCGCCCACACACTGCAAGAGCCGGAAGATTTTCTCAACGCGCACAGTGGGGACTACACGTGGGCATCGAAAAGCATTACAACGCATGGAAGATTTGTTATGTCCACTCGAAGGAAACAGTGGCAGCACGTGATGTCATCTTCTACGAGCGACTCACACTTCAAACGTACCTGGACAACCTGGCAGCAAATCGAGACCTCACGGGCGGCTTCCGTGGCAACCGAGCCTTTGCTTCAGCAGCAGACGAAGCTGACTGGGACGAGCAAAACGTGGACAACGAATCCGAAGAAGCAGGACCCCTCCCATACTGCTCCGTGCCTATCCCAATGGATGACGAAAATCCTCGCGAAAGCGTCAACGCCGAAACTTATTTCGACTTCGCCGACACCGGTTACGTTACACCTCAACCGGTCGACACCAACATCTCCGAACGCATAGGACCAAATTTCTTACCAGACCCCGAAGCAGGAGACAAAGCAGCTTATCCAGAGGACACAAATCTCCCCCGCTACACACAGAGTGGCCTGAAGATACTGGGACTTGTCACCGCCGTCCACGGAGCAGAACCACCTAAGAAGCCTGCGACAATTCAGCAGGCTCTGGGGGGGGAACACAGGGAAAAATGGCGTGAAGCCATGGATAAAGAGCTGAAGGCACTACAGGAACGCAACACCTGGAAAGTCGTGCCTATCGAAGTGGCACGCAACAAAAATATCCTCACGGGAAAATGGGTTTTCCGCGTGAAAACGAAAGCCGACGGAACAATCGACAAGTTCAAAGCACGTTGGGTCGTGCGGGGCTTCGATCAAGAGCAAGGGCGAGACTTCATGGAAACATTCGCCCCAGTAAGCCGACATACCTCACTGCGAATTCTTCTCGCAATCGCCGCCATGAACCAGAAGAAGCTCCGACAAATCGACGTCGCCAACGCCTTCCTCTACGCCCCCGTCCAACGCAGGCCCAAATCAAATCTGTCAACTGGAAAAGTCATTGTACGGGATCAAGCAGGCCCCGAGACTGTGGCAGCAGCACCTTCACGCCCGCCTAATTCGCATCGGATTTCTTCAGCTACCACACGACCAAGGGATGTATCGACTAACGAAAGGCACCGACTACATCCTAATTATCGTCTACGTCGATAATCTTCTCTACATAGGCTCCACCGACACTGTAGCGACATGGTTTGAAGGGGAGCCGCAGGGAGATCTAACTCTCACCGTCGCAACCACCGTGACGCAGTACCTAGGACTAAACATCGAAGACGACGACAATGCCATCTACCTCAGCGCTGCTAAATATACGGATACTATTGCTAAACGCTTCGGACTCATCCCAACGGCTATCTCCACACCATACCGCTACACCGACGGAAATCGAAAAGGGTCAGCCCTACTCGAACCTGCTCGCGTCCGCGGCTACCAGAGGAAACTAGGCTGCCTACTCTTCGCAGCCGTCACCTGTCGACCGGATCTATCCTACTCAGCTAGCCAACTTGCTACCTACCTCAAGAAACCTGAAGCAGAACACATGCTCGAACTCGACCGAGCGCTTCACTATCTCGTCAGCACTCCGACGATCGGCCTCACCTACCACAAGACCAGCATCGCAACACCTAAGCTAATCGGTTATGTCGACGCCGATCACGCTGGAGACTCAGACAATAGACGGTCTCGAACCGGCTACGTCTACAGACTCGGACCTATCGGGCCTATCTCATGGCAGTCGAACAAGCAAGAGCTAATCGCTCTCTCGTCAGCAGAAGCATAATATATCGCACTCTGCTCAGCAACCAAGGAAGGACAATATCTTCGCGAACTACTGGAGGAAGCAAAATTGGCCCAGTTACCCAATTTCTCTCCTCTGCGACAACCAATCGGCCATTCGCATAGCGAACAAAATGGGGTTCGCGAATCGAACGAAACATATCGCCCTTCGGTACTTCTTCGCGAAAGACGAGATCGAAAAGGGAAGACTCGAACTATCCTACTGTCCAACATCCGAGATGGCAGCTGACTACTTGACCAAGAAACTCGGAACACAAAAGTTCGAGTACTGCATGCTGCTGACTGGACAAGGACACGTCATCAGCAACGATCCTCCAGAAGCGAAGGGGAGTGTTGGAAACAAGTGATTTATAACGCTTCTGTCGCATCAAAGCTTCGACACAAAACGGAACTGACTACAGCGAAGAAGCACTCGAGTCAACCAAGGCAACCGTCAGAGGTTGCGCGAAGGTCAAATGTCTCCGACTTTTGATCTGACGAAACGTACAGTGCGACAGCAAGGACACATAACAGACTCGTTACAGAGCAGTTACCCGAGTCGGCACTGTATCGAACCGCAACAAAAAAAAAAAGTTAAAATAGAATTTTCAATATTCCTTTGTAATCATATAAAAGCCTTTTCTTCTCTGGTATTATCAACTTATCTTGTTCTCACACACCAGTACAAGGTGGTTCACGACAACTCTTCATTAACGCTTCCGCTATTACATCTCTACAGCAACATCCGATCTTAGTCCTGAAAGTTCCTAAGGGCTTTTTCTCAGCCCAACAATAGCTACAGTTCACCAATATGAAGCGGTCGTTTACCAACAACATGCAGCATCAATGGAGGATCCGTCCAAATAGAGATTGTAGTACTTGTAGTGTCCAATATTTCTTTGAAGTTAGATTCACAGGACATGTAGCATGTGAAATAATGCTCTAGACAAGGTTCTAGGGTGAACTGTATCAGGAAGGGGATGCAATGGCCAGAGTCCATGTAGGTGATAGGGTACGAAGCGCGTTTTCTAGGGGTTTTAGCGTTTTGAAGTGGAACACGTGGCCTTTCATGAACCCAAGCTGCTAGCTGGGAACCAGCGAGCCTTCACAGCTGCCACGTCATTGTCTGCGTGTGTCCCGTCTCCTGCACACCACACCACTATTTGTTTTGGTCCCTTTGCCCGTAACACCGCAGCACGAGTGAGTCAAGCCTCACCACGCTTACAAATTTCTGCCCGAAACCATCCATTTGTCGGTCGGATTGCAGTGCGAACGCTTTTGTGGACTCCGGTGTCTCTCATTGGATAGCACTTGGGGATTGTGTGGGCAAAGAGGCGAGTCGCGTTCCTATGGGCTTGGAGCAAAAGCAACCCCGAGAATATGCTTGGCGGGAGAACAACCCCCAAGGCCTCGCGCATTACGTCATCACAGCCACCACCTGATTGGTCGAGGCGGTTCGTCCAACAAACCTCAGTGGGGGTCAGCCTCCTCTGTTTTGCATAAACATTTGGTTTCAGCTCCAGTTTTGTAAGACTTTGCCTTCTCTGTGTGCTCTAGCTTGTCCAGTCAAACCGTTCCTACTCTCCAGCTTTCTTCTTCGGTGTTTGCGTCAGAATTTCTGCAGCCATGGCCGCTTCTAACGACTATGGCTCCTTCACTGCTGTGAACCTCGAGCGCGAACCCTACTGGCCCGAGAAGAAGCTCAGGATTTGCGTTACCGGAGCTGGCGGTTTCATCGGGTCGCATATTGCCCGCCGATTGAAATCGGAGGGTCACTATGTGATCGCGTCGGACTGGAAGAGGAACGAGCACATGACCGAGGACATGTTCTGTGACGAGTTTCATCTCGTCGATTTACGTGTCATGGACAACTGTCTCAAGGTCACCAAGGGAGTGGAGCATGTGTTTAACCTGGCTGCCGACATGGGTGGCATGGGTTTCATCCAGTCGAATCACTCTGTGATTCTGTACAACAACACCATGATCAGCTTCAACATGCTTGAGGCTGCTCGCATCAACGGCATTTCTCGGTAAGGCCGTTGAAGTTCATGAAATTTGCATATGAAATCAATGAGCATCACGCGTTACCAGGCTGACGTGCTTTCATTATGTCACTCCTGCAGCTTCTTCTACGCCTCGAGCGCATGCATCTACCCCGAGTTCCGTCAACTTGAGACCGACAACGTTAACTTGAAAGAATCAGATGCCTGGCCCGCTGAGGTAAGCTCATTGGTTGAAGTTCGATTTCACACTAGTTTTCACATGAACGAGTCGAATTGGGCTCTTTTGGCTGAGAAATCTTGTCTACATGTAAGATTTACGACGTAATTTGCCTCTACAGCCCCAAGACGCGTACGGTCTCGAGAAGCTGGTGACTGAGGAGCTCTGCAAGCACTACACCAAGGACTTCGGCGTGGAGTGCAGAATTGGCCGATTCCACAACATCTACGGTCCTTTCGGCACATGGAAGGGTACGTGTCGTCTTAGACTCGCGCGTGTCTTCCTTTTTTGTTTCGGCGTTGTGTCTTCATTGTGATTTCCTGGGTCAAATATTTGATCTGACAATATGTATTTTCTATGCAGGTGGCCGCGAGAAGGCGCCAGCAGCGTTTTGCCGCAAGGTGCTGACTTCCAAGGATCACTTCGAGATGTGGGGCGATGGCAAGCAGACGAGGTCCTTCACCTTCATCGACGAGTGTGTGGAAGGCGTGCTCAGGTATGTCGGCATTAATCTTGTCCTTCACAATTGCGTCTGTAATTTTCGGTTTAGGAGACTTGTTAGTTGTGTCGTAATTCATGCAAATCTACCAAATTATTTTAAGGATGTACCGAATGAATCACCTCATGTACAGACGTGTTCTGGATCTTCGTTTGTTGAGATTCTCGAGCTTACCTAGCATTTCGCTGTCGTCCAGACCGTGATGTACCCTTACACGACTTTCCGTGTGCAAGCTAGTTGACACAAGCTCTGCCCTGTTTTGCAATTGCAGGCTAACCAAGTCGGACTTCAGGGAGCCGTTGAACATTGGGAGTGATGAGTGCGTGAGCATGAACGACATGGCGGCCATGGTGATGAGCATTGAGAACAAGGACCTGCCCATCAAGCACATCCCGGGCCCTGAGGGGGTGCGCGGGCGTAATTCGGACAACACGCTCATCCGGGAGAAGCTGGGCTGGGCTCCGTCCATGAAGCTCATTGTGAGTGATCGATCCAACATTCATGGAATTTCCCTTGTGATTGCACATTCTCCCCCTTGTCCTCCCTCCACCCAGCTTCTTCCTATTTCACACCTTTTTGTGCCTGAATCAGTGACTCGTTTATGGTGATGCAAGGACTGATCCCACTCTGCTTTCTGGTCAATCTCGCAGGATGGTCTGACATTCACGTACAAATGGATCACGACACAAATCGAGAAGGAGAAGGCCAAGGGCACTGATGCGTCAACGTATTCTTCATCCAAGGTGGTCGGCACATCAGCACCTGTGGAGTTGGGATCGCTAAGGAAGGCTGACGGGGAGGAGTAAATCAAGCTTTTCAAAAGCGTTTCAATTCAAAAATACGATAGTGCTGACAAGTGACTGGTAGCTGCTACTGTGACGCTGCCCTGCCTACTCTACATTCTTTGCTTGTGCCCAAGCTCATAATCTTGCTCCTGTTGTAGCAATTTCTGTAATCTGTCTACTTCCAATACAAAGTATTCACACAATGATGGTACCTCTTCTACTGATTGAATCATGGACTGAATCAAGCTTGAGGCACGAATCACATGATCCATGATCCAAGCATGATCCAGGAACCATGATCAAAGCTTGATGCACGGACCATGATCAAAGCTTGAGGCATGAACCATGATCAAAGCTTGGGGCATGATCCATGATCAAAGCTTGAGGCATGGCACATGATCAAAGCTTGTGAACCTGATCCATAAGATCATGTGGGGTTGCTCATCCCTCAGAGCATCTGGGATTGTTTCAATCACAGCTCGTGACATACGGTAGTACCCATCAAAGCTTATGGATTTGTTCCCATCAAAGCTTGTAAACTTGTTTCCCATCAAAGCTTGAGGAATAACCCTGGGGATGTACCAGTAGGTGACCCAGCACCTGTATCTCGTTCATGTCCACCATCACCATGGTTACTAACCCCAGGCGTTTCAGCCAGAGCTCCAACGCGCTGTTCCACTGCTTGCTGCAATTGATGCACGAGCGTGCGTTGCTGCTGCTCTCCCAGCTGCTGTTGTCCATTCAGAGTAGCCAAGCCTTGCTGTCCAGACTCGCTTTGCATGCAAGTCACCGGTAGAGCTGCTTCTGTGAGCTTCAGACTCATGGCTGCTGCTTGAAAGGAGGGCCTTTGGGGGGATTCACAGGAGTGGCAAAGCTTCCATGTCACTTGTGTAGTATGTTCTCTGCTGCTACCTGGGCCAGTTTGTCTCCATTGCTCGCCTTCATCTCGCACCTGTCCCTGCTGCCGCCGCCGCTGCTGCTCCTGCTGCTCTGCTTGTTGCTGTTGCTGCTGTGTTTGCTGCACATGGAACACAACAGCGCAACAGAAATGTCACTACCTGTGCCACTCGCTTCAAATTCCTAGAAGAGAAAAAAGAAAGAAAGAAAGAAAGAAAGAAAGAAAGAAAGAAAGAAAAAAGAACCCCAATGCCTCGATGACTCACACTGAGCCTCTCTTTGAGGCGGCGATTTTCGTCAGCTAGTGTCTGGCAGCGCCGCCTCAAGCCGTCCAGCTCCACTTCCGTATCCTTCACCTTGGTGCGCGCCCTGCGGTTCTGAAACCACACCTCCACCTGCCTCACCCGCACGCCCAGCTGCCCCGCCAGCACGCACTTTTCCCTGGGAGTGAGCCTCGGGGTTTTCCTGAATACTGCTTCCATTGTGCTCTGCTGCTCCTGCGATAGCCGCATCTTTCTTTTATTCCCGCTCCCCTCGCCGTCTTCCCCTCCTTCCGCTGACGCCGCTTCCCCCTCCACTTCCCCTTCTGCTCCTCCAGTTCCCCTCTCACCTGCTTCCCCCTGCTCTCCCCCTTCCGCACCCCTGGGTTCTCTTTCGTCCTCTTCCCCATACCCCTGCCCTGCACTCATTCTCTCCCTTGCACGGACGCCTGCAGCAGTTGTACCAAGAGCTGTTCCCACAGCAGTCACATTAGGAGTAGGAGGCATGGAAACAGCAGCAGTAGGAGTAGCAGCCATGCTGTTGCCAGCAGCAGAGTTATTGCTAGCAGCAGCAGTAGCAGCCATGCGGTTGCCAGCAGCAGAGTTATTGCTAGCAGCAGCAGTAGCAGCCACAATCCTGACAGCTCCAGCCAGACTTTTACCAGCGTTGCCACCAGAACACCCAGCAGCAGCACGTCCCGAGGCAGCAGCAAGAATCGCTCCGAGCCTCTCTGTCAGGTCCGGATCCAAGCCTGCTGCCGTCCTTGTTACACCTACCCCCCCAGCATCGCCCACAGCTGCCACTCCTTCTGATTCCCACCTCCCCGCTCTTCCTCCTCCCTCCAATCCACCCATCTTAAGCCTCGTCCCGACCTCCCTACCTGCATCCCCGACTTCCCTTTCCCCTCTCCAGTTGCCATCTGCTGTCCTTCCCAATTCCTTCCCCGCTACCATTCCATCTTCCTTTTCAACATCACCTTGTCTTTCAGTTTCTATCTGTGTCTGTAAACTTGGTCACATGCCCGCATTTGCTGTTGTTGCTGCCGCGGCCGCTGCTGCTGTCACGAGTCCAGGATGTTTTCTGAGAAACTCAAGTCCCCGAGCCCAGACCGCAGGCTCGATTCCTGAAGGTGCTGGCATGTTTTGTACTACATGCGAATTCTGTTGATGCGTTTGCTGTAATTGCAATTGTGGTTCAAACAGCTGTAACGCTGGCTCGGAGTGTAGGTGTAAACCGCTAATGTCACGACCGCCTTCGCCACCTCGATGTGCACCATCCACCGATCTCAACCGATCGAATTCTGTGTCCGCAGTAGCGGGGTTCCTTTCCGCCCCTCCGCCTACATGATTCACCCCCCTTGTTCGCGCTGTCGCCAATTTCCGGTCCTCGTTATCTATTCGCTTCCGCGTTTCTCTATTACCTACCCCGAGCGCAAAATGTCCTCCCGCCGCGCTTATCCCAAGTTCACCGCCGCCATTTCCGCCTTCTCGTGGCAGTTGCGCACTCCCACTTTGTGCCAGCGGCGCTGCGGCGGGTCCTGCGGCGCCCCAGAGCCGGCCCAATAGCGCGAGATTTTCTTGACCCCCTGCATTCCTGCCTGGCGCGCCCAACAGCCGCGCGGCAAGCTCTGCTGCGGACCCAACGCTTGCGTCGGCAAACGAAGGGCCTGAAGCGGAAGGCGCTGATGTTGGGGGAGCGAGCGGAGCGGAAAGAGCCTCGGGAGCGGAGGCTCTGGCAAGGGGAAGTGGGGGAGCGGAGAATGGTGCGGTACTCGCAGGGGAAACTCCAGGAAGGGCGGAAGGAGCGGGCGGCGCGCCGAGGCTTCGGAGAAACTGCGCAACCGAATCCACCACCACCGCTGCTGCATCGTACGTCAACGGCGCCGCGGTAGGCGGCGCTGACGGAATGTTGGAGCCGCCCGGCGAATCAGGCGATCCCGAAAAGGGAGCTCGAGCTCCGCTTGGAGCGGCAAAAAAACGCGGCAGTCGCGTCGGTGGGGGGACTGCGCTATTAGGAGCATTTGTCGCGCCACGACTGAGAAACACATCGCTTGGCTGCCGTGCCGAGAATCGGCCCGCTGACTCCGCCGCAAGAAGAGACGGGGAAAACGGCCGCGAGCGGAACAGAATCTCTTGTAGCTGGGACTCCTGTAGGTGCTCTGGGTGCTGCTGCGGCTGCTGCCGAACCTGTTGAAGAGCCTCGGCGGGAGCTTTGGCAGGGCGGTTAGCATCAGCGGTAGTAGTAGGATCCAGCGACATTCCCAAGCCGCCCACGACGGAGCCTCCAGCAGTTGCCGGCGGGCTGCGCGTTCGGCTGCTCGACGTGGGGAACCTTTCCAGCTGGGCCGCCTCTGCCGCTGGCCTCGTGTTTGACGCGCTTCGGGAAAGCACCTCGTCGGCGTCTCGCGATGGAACGATTCGCGAAGCGGGGTCTCCCCTTCTAGAAGCGGCGACGGGCGGCGTCAACGTGAGGGCCAAGTCTGTAGCCAGTAGAACCCCCGCGGCGTCGGCATTCTCGAGTCGGCTGTCCGCACCGTCGATTTGCGGATCCATGCTTTGACGACGACTGCGAGTTGCGGCGCCCTTCAATGTGTTACTGCCGTCGCGGCGGCTTAGAAGTACGACCGCAAAGCGAGACGCCCGAGGTTTGGAAATGACAGAAGCGAATCCGATTGCGTGTACACGTGGCGGCACACCACGTGGTGGCTGGTAATGTTATAGCTACTAGTGCCTGCTGTGCCGCCAGGTACGGCTAGCATACACTCAACTAGCATCTGTGTGGATCATCACTTCATACTATGCGCATGTGCCCAACTGACAACCTCATCCCGCTTGTAATAACGCGCCGTATCATCTGCCATCGCCGGGTATGGCGGGATCGCGAGTAGAGGATCTTATCCAGATGGTTGGAATGAGGCGACCTCTGAGTCGACTGAAAAGCCACGTTGCGAGTGCTAAAATGGTCTAAACGACGCACGCGGGGCCTAGAGAAAGAAAGCTAGTACTAAGCCCTGCTTCTGAGATCCTGAATTCAGCGATACACCGGATGCGACGCGATGACACAGCTGCGCACATGTGCACAACTTCTGAACACAGTCAGTCTAACCTCTCTCGGTTGTGCTTGGAGCACAGGAAGCGAGACGAGCAGCTGCTGTCACGGCGGCTGATGCGAGATAACTGACTGCGCAATCAAGAGAAAAAGGGGATTAATGCGGGCGGAAGGTTCTAGGAGGCCTCTTTCTCCGTGAGCAGAGATAATCTACGATTGCTGTACACGTAACAGTAAGTTTGCCGTGCATTGCGGAATGCAGATTCATCGTCTGCCAGACGATTCTATCACCGATTCACCGTCGAGTGTGAAGCCAATCAAGGATCTGACATTTGCGTACGTCTGTTCTATCGTACTGTACTCGTAACGACTCATAATGGGATCACAAAATGCGGCTCATTCTCGCACCGCACGATTTACCGAGACTGATGGCTACTGCAACGCCATTCGCATCGGGGATCGGACTTTGATCATGCATGGGCCTGCGGGAATGGCAAAACGGTTTTGTGTGTCGGTGGAGACAAAGGTGAAGTGCCGTACACAAGACTCCGTCGGTCGGACTCAGACCTGATCTGCAGCATAATAACAGCCGTTACAGCATGTCGCATCGTGTAGTAAGCCCACTCGCACGCACGTGCTCTGAGATGCATTGCCTGTGGAACAAAGCTAAACTATGCAAAGGCCACGTGAATTTTCCTCAATTGCAATGGTGGGGGTGATGAGCATCAGCGGAAGCAATGAATATGACGCGACGCGAGTATGGGATGAGATGGAGTTTGGGACCAAGCGAACGAGGCAGCGTTTTTTACTAACAATCCAGGCTCCCAGAAGAGCGTGGACGCGCAGGAAAAGGCCCACGACAAAACGGGCATGATAAGAAGGCTGACTTCCGTTCCGTGCGTGCCTGTTGCTGCGAGATCAACGAGGAGCATCGAGAACAAACAAGAGCAGCATCACTCCTTGAGCAGGAGGAAGGATAGAAGAAAAGAAACCGCCCCTTTGGTTGCATCCAAATGTGCAGGAAGCTGTGCAGGAAGGAAGATGCACATGAAGGTGGAGAGTCAGACAGACATATGGCACAAATGAACAGAACGAAGAGTTTTCTACGAGTCGTCAATCATAGGGTGCCCGACGAGCATTCTATTTGTGAAAAGTTTACTAAGATTCACGTTTTTTAACCATGATTTAACCGAGAAAACCGTATGAACCGGGCATAAAACGTGGTGTGGATAATTGAGATCACATTGACATTCTCTTTGTCCAGTGCCCCATGTCAATCGGGAGGACCACAACAGCGAAAGAAACTGTAAAAAATGCAACCTGTAAAAATCAGTCATGTTTGACGCAAGCTTGCGTCATAAGAAGCTTCTTGGAGCTTAGCCTCATAAATGCCGAAATTTCCTGGCGGATCAGCAAACGTTTTCCCCTGTGGCAACAAGCACAGGTTATTTTTCTTGAACCACTCTTACTGGTGCTGTTCGCCAGCACCATTATATCCAAAAACCACAGGATAACGACGGGATCAGGAAGGTGGGTCTCGCCTTCCTGATCCCGTCAGTTAGAGTTAGTTAACCTCCGTCAGCTTGGTCAGCCCGTGAAAAAAGTGCCGAGCCTCACCTACCGTCCAAACCAACAAACAAAGTGGGCGTCTGGCGAACGCCCACTTTTCTCCACCAAATCTAAAAGTTCGACGGCATCTGGAAGCGGGGACGAAACTTCGTTACCAGGCAAAATGCCATCCCCTAGCCATGCCATCGTCATGCCGCGTTTTTCAAAGCACAGCGGTGGCACAGCCGACGCATTGCTGTTCAGAGGGTAACCCTTGAACAAGCCTGCAGTTTAACAAAGGGGGGTTCGTATACCCCCCATTTTTCCCTCCCAAACACACCTTCGAAATGCCCCCCGCGCATAACTTGAGTTGTGTCTGGGCATGAGCACGTGGTAGCGGGGGTTGTGTTTGAGCGGGGTGTGTTTTATTTGCGTTTTTCACCCACGTTGAGCAATTTTTGGTCAGCGGGCAGCACAAGGGTCAGGGATGAACAAATTTCGCGCCATTGGGGGGAAGGTGGGGATGGACCTTCCCGATGCGGTTGAGAAATTTCGCCTTTCGGGCGCGCGTAGTTTCTCGGGCGGCATTTCGCCCAAACCTCGGAGGAGGGTTCCGCCCCCGTTTCCATATGCGGTCGCGATGCTGATGCCATCGTTTCCTGTTGAAGAAACGATTTGCTGGCGAACAGCACCACTGTCTGCATTCGGATGCGATATCTGGGAAAGTGCACACAATTAACACATGCGGGTATATGTATTCCCACCCTTCACCATCTTTGCTAAAAGTTGTAAATTGTGCAAGGCACTGAGAAAAAACAAAAACAGATTTACGAACACAGGGGGGAAGAAGGATGGCAATACACTTGTCATTTCTCTTGAAGCCATTTGTTAAGCCTCTCTTGACATTCACCATGTACCGCTTTGAACTCCTCCGAAAACCCTTCCTCCACTTCTGCGGGCTTTCCCTTAGAGGCCGTCGGTAGAACCAAGACTACACTTGTGGGCCGCTTTGTGATGGCAGCATTACCCAAGTCCTGACACACAGTACACACAGGAACAGGTACCAGTGAGGCAAGAGTACGTTAGGAAATGGTGAAAGGAATAAGCAAGTTCAAGGAGTAAACACTTGACGAGTAGGAAGGGACACCGCCCCTTGGCTGAACAGCGTTACACCGTTACAGGGTGAGAGGTAACAAGCTCATCAGAAAAAAAAAGCAACAGGGACACACATACTGCATGGCTTGGCACGTAGGTGTAAAGAATGTTGAGTTTTGAGACGTATAAAAAGAAAGAGGTAACAGAGAATACACATACCGCACGGCTGGGCACATAGGTCTAGGGAATGTTGGTAACAGGGTTACACATACCGCACGACTGGGCACATAGGTGTAGGGAATGTTGGCCTCCTCGCACACCACTGGGAGATGCGAGATGACGTCAATGGGTGACACGTCCCCTCCCAACACACACACTCTGCACCGAGAAAAGCAGTCCGATGGAAGAGAAAGAATTACTGTTGAGTTGACTCACAAGATCACAACTCTCTTCCCAACACACACACACTACACCCAAAAGCAGCAAGAGTTGAAGCGAAGTTGAGAGGATAGAAAAGCATGTTTCAGGAAGAAACAAGACCGATTAGTGTTTAGGGAATGTGAAAGGCACATGTAAACAAAAGAGCAATTAGGTTAGGACGGGAGGGGAAGGGGTGTGGGGGTGTGGGTGGGTGGGAGGGGGTGCAACTGGGGTAATTGCAACACGAGCGCCCATTTCCTCCAATTGCATGCAAGGGGGCACGACCCCCACCCTCTAATCCCTTCCCCCCTTCTTTCCCCTTTCTCCCCAACCCCCCTCTTCAACATCCCCCGTTTCCTCATCATCTATCCCTCCCTCCCCTTTCCCCCGCCCCACCCCTCCCCCGTGAACTCAACCCCTCTCGCCCTTTCGCACACCCCCCCGCCCCCTTTCCCCCCTCCTCTCCCCCCTCCCCCTGGGACTCACCCCCTCTCGCCCTTTCGCACACCCCCCCGCCCCCTTTCTACCCTCCTCTCCCCTTTCCCCCTGGGACTCACCCCCTCTCGCCCTTGCGCACGGCCTTGGCCACCTCCTTCACTCCTCGCCGCAAGTACCCCTTGTGCTTCGCCGCTGCGCGCATCGAGGGACCGCGCGACCACGCAAGAGAACGGGGGAAGGCGGGTGAGGGTGGGGTTGGGGGTGGGGAAGTGGAGCAGAGGGGGGTGGCAGGGGGTGCGCGGCGGAGAGAGTGAGTGGGAAATTGATGGAGAGAGCTGCATTTGGGAAACACGCGCAAGGACACGGCACACGGGGAGAGCGTGACCTTTCCCGAAAAGGTATTGCGATGGTGCTTTGAGCGGAAGAAGGTCCCTCAAGAGGTGCAGCGTAAAGAAGACGGGGCCGCTTCAAAGCTCCAAGGAGCAGCGTTCAGGGCACAGTGGGACGGTTACGACAGAATGATGCACAGCGGGTGATGTGTCCGGAAGCGGAAACATTTGCGACGGGGTTTATGGCTCACGGCGCGCACGACGGGGACAACGGGGCACGGCGGGGAAGGAGGGGAGCACGGCGCCCACGGCGCACAGCGCGCACCTTTCTTGACGAGCTGCAGCACTTTCTGGTTGAAAGTCGGGTCCGCAAGCGGCTTCGCGATGGTGCACACGTTGCGCCACTTGAGCGCCGCCGCCGCCGCCGCCGCCTCGTCCTTCTCCCCCTTACCCCCCTTCTCGCCACCCTCCTTCTCCTTCTTCTTTGATTTCTTCGGCGTCGCGCCGTCGTTCGCGGCGGCGTCCGCCTTTTTCTTCTTCGTCGATCGCTCGCCGCCGCTCGCCGTCGCCGTTTCCGACGCTGTCGCGTCGCTCTTTTTGCGCTTCGGCGTCTTCTCGACCTCCTCGCCCGCCGCCTCGCTCTTGCTCTTCTTCGGCGTCTTCTCGTCCTTCTTCGCCATTCTGAATCCGCTAAAAGTCTCTCGTACTAAAGTCTCTTCTGGTAAAAACCACTCTTGCTTAAAAAGATGTCGACTTGTTATTCTTCCGCGCAATTAGAAAAAAATCTGGGAGCTCGCCACACGAACTTAGTGCGGCGTGAGAGTGGCAGAGGTAACGCCGCTACGGATGTCAGCGGCTAAGAAAAAGCTGCTGCTGCTGTGGAGAAGTGAGAGAAGCTGTCACTGCAGGATTAGGGTTTTGAAAAATGTGAGATTTTGCTGTGCAGAAGAGGGGCTTTTTGGTGACAAGCGAGGAGAAACAAATCTCCGCTACAATCGAGACTGGTCAAAGTGGAGAATGTTCGCACATTGAAGCCAAATTTAACGATGAGACTAAACCACAAAAACAAATTACGTAGTTTTTGTTTTAGCAAACATTGAAAAACAACTGAGAATGTAAGTGATTCCTGCAAGTAAACCCAACAAAAATGCAAGCTATGGTGAGAGACGATTTCTGGAAGCAGCCAATCCAATCCAGTACGTCACTTTCCCCCAGACACCTCCTATTTTCGCCTTGCAAGTGGTCGTTTCGCCCTCACAATTCTCCTCCCGGCAATATTCGAACCTGCCGGTGTCTTCTCCCCTGCATCCCCCCCCGCACCCAGTGAAAACTCCCCAGGCGTCCCCACGAACCCCCCACCATTCCCAACCGCACCAAACCCCCCAAACGGCGAAGCAGGTGCCGGTGCACCACCGTTGCTGCCATTACCATTCTCACCAGAACCATCAGCATCAGCCGTATTACCAGCTGCAGCAGGAGGAGGGGTGAAGCCTCCAAATAGAGGAGCACCAGGAGCTGTTGCTGCTGCTGATGCTCCTATTGCTGCTGCTGATGCTGCTGTTGCGGCTGAAGCGCCGAAATTGAAAGTTGGAAGCGACGATGTCTTGACACCGTTTGCTGCTGACCCTCCAAATGAAAACAAGCCCTTGCTGGCACCATCAGCACTAGGAGCAGGTGATCCAGCAGCAGCAGAAGCAGGTGAGGCGGCAGCAAAGGAGAGCACGGGGGTTGCAGTAGGGGATGCAGAGGAACCTGCAGGCTTGCCAAAGGAGAATTGCGGGGTGGACGGGGCAGCACCAAACGAGAAGAGCGAGGCAGCAGGGGATGAGGCTGCAGCTGGAGATGAGGCAACAGCAGCACCAGATGAGCCAGCCGAAGGAGATGGCGCAACAGCAGCAGCGGAAGGGCCTTTAGAGGCGAAGGAGAAGACCGGAGCAGAGGAGGCTGTCGGGGGAGCGAAAGCAGTGGTGAGGTTTGAAGGGGAGAACTGAGTGGTGGAAGCCGGTGTGGAGGAGGGTGTGGGTGTTGGAGAGGGGGAGGAGGAGGCTGCAGCACCGAAGGAGAAGATAGGAGCAGATGCTGCTGCTGCTGCTGCTGCTGCAGCTGGTGCTGGTGCTGTTACTTTTGAAGCACCTGTTGCTGCGGGTGAGGTGGTACCAGTTGCTGTTGTGGCTGTGGTGGTGCCAAAGAACAGCGAAGGGGGCGAGGGGGATGGGGAGGAGGAGCTGGGGGCTGGTGTAGCTGAGGATGCAGCAGCAGCGGAGGGAGAGGCAGAGCCAAAGGAGAACTTGGGAGCAGATGCCGTGCCTCCTGCTGTTCCCGCTGCTCCTCCTACTGCTTCAGCCCCTGCTTCTGCTCCTGGTGATGCCCCAAATTTGAACGGAGAGGACGAGAACGGGGAGGGGGAGGACGGAGCAAAAGGAGAGGAGGAAGCGGAGGCGGATCCTGGTGTGTCGGGTTTCTCAGCTGGTGAGATGGACGGCCGCTTAACAAACGGGTTGGGGAACGCACCACCATCACCATCAGCAACAGCAAAAGGGCTACCAGCAGCTTTCCATTCAGAGGCACCACCACCACCAAAACCACCGCCACCACCACCACCACCAAAACCACCACCGCCGCCTCCTCGCTTCTTTGGCCTGTCAGACTGCAACCTCTCACTTCCCTCATCGTCTTCCCCATCCCCTCCGCCTGCTCCTGCCTCTGCAGCATCCCCTTTCCCCTCTGCACCTCCCATGCTGCTCCTCCCTCCAAAGGCAAACGGTGACGCTGCAAACGAAGAAGCTCCAGTGCCAGCAGCAGCAGCAGTATTAGCACCACCGCCACCAGCAGCTGCAGCAGCAGCAGCATTTGCACTAGCAGGGCTGGTCGATCCGAAAACTGGAGCAGCAGGAGCAGCGCCAAAGGCGAATCCACACTTAGCCGGTGCAGTGGCAGGAGTGGCGGAGGCACCAAACGCGAAGCCACTCTTGGCTGGTGCGGTGGCAGGTGTGGCAGAAGCACCAAAGGCAAACACCGGAGCAGCACTTGCCGCTTTCGTCCCCTCCGAACCTGTTCCCATTCCCGTTCCTGTGCCGAATCCCGTGCCCGTGCCTGGTCCAGCATCGGTGGTGTCTTTCCCACCCCCAAAGCTGGGGACCACAGACGATGAGAAAGGGGAGGACGTGGCAAACAGGGCCTTGGTCACTTGGCTCTGCTGCCCCAGCCCCTGCAGCTTATCACCAGCTGTAAAAGCGACGGCAGCAGCAGTGCCAGTGGTGGCAGCGGGGGATCCGAATGAGAAAGCGACAGGAGTGAGTGGGGAGGGCGGCGAGGACGGGGGCTGAAGCGCTGTGGCAGCAGCAGTAGCGCTGGCAGCGGCAATCGCAGCGACAGCACCCGCAGGAGCAGTCGCAGCAGCAGCAGCAACAGCAGCAGCAACAGGAGCAGCAGGGGAGTATGGCTTCGTGGCATGCGATGGTGAAAAGACAGCCTTGCTGCACGGTGGAAAAAAAGGGGAAGAGCAGGAGGAATGGTAAAGTTTCAACTTGTTCAGATATGGAACAGCAAGCATTTGAAACCTAAGAAAATATCAACGCAGGTACAGTGCAACAAACTGGAACAGACAAATAGCCCTAGCAGTTCCCATTGGCAGAAAAGGCAAACATAAACTTGAAACACTGAACTTCAAACACGTAACAAGAAACGGGACCTGGGACCTGTAGTACCAGGAACACCCACCTGAAGGACAGTGCTGGCGAGCGGAATTGGAACTTCCGAGCATCTGCAGATGCTGCTGTAGCTGGTTGCTCTTGCTCTTTCTCTGCTGCCTTGCCAAGCACCCGGCTGAAATCCAGACCTGCGGCCGAGCCTGGCTTGCTGCCGAAGCTGAACTTAGGCTCGGCGGTCCCTGCACTCTTCTTCTCGCCCGAAGCAGCTCCAGGTGGAGAGGCCTGGGACTTGGAAACGCTGCCCGAACCAAACAGCTTCGGGGTTGCCAAACCTGCAGACGGGAACGCCGAGCCTGCCATGGCTGCCCCTGAGCCATGGAACGAAAAACCCTCAGCAACCCCTGCACCTGCACCCCCTCCTGCTGACGTGGCACCAGGGGATCCACGTGGACGAATCATAATGGTCGGCTGGTCGGATGACGTGGCAATTGGCTCTCTCTCCGCCTCTCCTCCAGCCCTAGTCGTGACACCTGCACCTGAACCTGCCCCTGCTGCTACACCTGAACCTACACCTGAACCTGCACCTGCACCTGCAACTGCTGCTGCTAACTTCTCCTCTGTTTGTTTCTCTCTCACCGCTACCAGCTCTCTCTCTGCACCTGCCGTCCTGCTCCCACCCGCCCCCTCACCTACCCCAGTGCTTGCACCTGCCCCTGCAGCTGCTGCACCCGAACCTGCTGCAGTACCTGCAGCTGCACCTGCACCCACTCCCCAAACCGAACCTGCTCCCACACCTGTGCCCGAACCCATACCTGCCCCCGAGCCTGTGCCCGCACCTGCAGCCCAAGAAAATACAGGCTTAGAAGCCGCAGCAGGAGCATGAGCAGCAACTGCAGCGTCAGCACTATTGGCAGCAGCACCTGTACCAAAGGCAGCAGCCGCAGGGGCAGCAGCAGGTGCAGCAGAACCAGCAAAATAATCAGTAATAGCAGGTACAGGAACAATGCCGTTCTCTATGTCCCCTCCTGCTCTGTACCCTCCCTTTTCCCTGCCCTCCTCTGCTACCACCTCTTTCCCCTTCCCTTTCTGCCCCACCCACTCCAACCCACCAATAGCACCAAAACCTGCAGCACTCACACCAGCAGCAGCAGCGTCACCATCAGCAGCAGCAGGCACACCTGCAACACTCACACCGGCACCTGAGAAACCACCTGGAGCAGGGTGCGCGGGCGGGAGGTCACCAGCAGCCCTTCTGTGCATGTACGTGGGGAGGAACGTCAAGGGTGGTGCCACTATATCGTCCCCCTCCCCCCGCCTGCCCCCCCGCCCTAAGCCCAAACCTGCACCCAGACCTGCACCCGAACCTGCCCCGAACCGATCGCCAACCCTGGATCTTGGGCCCAGCAATCTCTTCCAGCCATCCACGCCCCGATCGCCAAACTCAACCCCATCCCCACCAAACCCACCAAACCCATTCCTATCCCCGCTTACCCCACCAAACCCACCCAAACCCCTATCCCCACCAGCACCACTGCCAACCCCGTCCCCCCCTCCTCCCCCTCCGATTCCCCCCATGCCTCCGCGCCCCTCACCCCGCCCTGCACCCATCCACCCCTGCGCCCCCGCGCCTGTGATATCTTCCAGCTTGGCAAGGATCTTTTGAGCCGTTTCTAGTGACTTGCCAGGGGTAAGGCTCATCCCAGACAGCACATTTTGCCCCACCCGCTGCTGCCCCTCTCGCCGCTGCCTCTGCCCCTGCTGCTCCAGACCCTGCTGGCGCCTGGCTTGTTCTAACCGCCTACTCCCCTCTCTGCCTGCCCCCTTACGCCCGAACAGCCCAAACGTATCCCTCTCTGGGAACAGCCCTCCACCGTCTCCCACCCCTTCAAACGCCTTATCCCACGCGCCTTTCTTTGCACCCAGAGAAAACCCAGGCAGCTCCCCGGGCAGCATGCGTGGCCCGCCGCTGCTGCTGCGAGAGGCAAAGCCGTGCGAGCGGGCAGCCTGCCCGCGAAGCCGGGCAGAGGGAAGAAAACTTCCAGCCCCAGCAGAAAAAAGCGCAGGGGGAGGGAGGGGAGGGGCAGCTAAAACACCCAAACGGAAATCTGAAGGTCTTGAGATAGGACCGGGGAAAGAGGTAGGGCCGGGAGGGAAGGAGACTAGCGCAAGGCGGTTGGGCTGGTGGGAGGCACGCGGGCGAGTGCGTCGTGCTGACTCGGTTCCCCTCAGCCAATCAGCATCTGCCTCGTCAGCGACGCGAGCTCGCTTGGCGGACTGACAAGCAGAGGGGATAAAGAGATGGAAAGGGGAGAGGGGGTGGAGGAGAGGGGGTGTGAAGAAGCGGAATGATTGGAAATCAATTCTTTCTAGCAGACAGAAGGAAATGGATGGGAATGCACCAGCAAATGCTATCCGCCGTCTCTGTATCTGCAGCAGCACCCATTCAACTCACCCATTCACGACCTACCTTAGGCGTGGCAGGCACTGGAGCACCATTGCGGCTGCGAGAAGCAGCAGCGCCTGGAAACACAGCTCGCACCAACTCCCCGTTACCATCCTCCCTCTCCCTTCCCCATCCAACCTCCTCTTCCTCCCCCCCCTGCTGTTCCTCCTCGTCCCGCTGCTGCTGCTCTTCCTCCTCCTCCTCCTCCTCCCCAACCTGCTCCTCCTCCTGCTGCTGCTGCGCCTGCTGCCCCCACGCGTCTCCCAAAACAGCATCCGAGGGTCGTCGAGAGCCCACCACCACCATCTCACCCCACCCGCTCGCCCTCCCCTCCCCACCCTCGCCGCCAGGAGACGGATCAGCATCATCATCATCATAAGCATCAGCAGCAGCAGCGGCAGCAACAGCAGCAGTAGGGGTACCGCCACCAGCACCGCTACCACCTGCACCGGCAGCAATAGCAGCGGCGGCAGCGGCGGAAGCAGCGCGGAGGTCCCCTCTCATGTACGCCTTGGCGATATCCACCGGTGACGCCCCGCCCTTGTGGTGGCGGGCACAAGGGGTGGAGTGAGGGGAGGGGAGAGGGTGGGGAAACGGGGACGGGAAATGGAGGGGTGGGAAAGCGTGGTAAGCCTTGGCAATTCTCACAAGCAATGCCCTTCCCTTGGGGTGGCGGAGACAAGGGGGCAGAGGGGGAAAGGGGGGAGGGGGGGGGGAAGGATGAGGAGGAAAACGGAAGGCGCAGTGCGGTGGAGAGAAGGTGGGACGAGAGGGTGCGGGAATATTGTGTGAGGAGAATGCTAGAGACGAAGCGGGAAGATAACTAAATCAAGGAAAAAAAAGTGAAACAACCTCACACACTTGGACCCCCTTTTCCTGCCCGCACCTTCCCCTTCCCCTTTCCTTCCCTTCCCCAATTTCTCCTTCCTTTCCCCTACCTTTCCCCTTCCTTCCCCCTTACACCTCCCCCTTTCCTTCCCCTTCCGCCTTCCTCCTTCATCCTTTTCCTCCCACCTCCCTCTGCCACCGAACGCTTACATCGGGCGTGTGAAACTCCTCGTCCTCGTCCCCGTCAGCAGCACCGCCATCCACGTCAGCAGGCGACGCCCAACCATTGGTCACCGGCGTGGCGAATCTAGATCCCGGATCTCCGCCAGACAACCCCTTTCCCGCAGACCCCCTTCCAGCAAATCCCCTTCCTGGGGGGACCGTCCTATCAGCGCCTTTGGGAGGAGCGGCGAAGGTGCGTGCTGCGTCAAAGAACGGCGTGACAGGCGCTGCTGCTGCCGCCGCGCCTGGGGTATGGAACGGCGTGGATTTGAAGCCACTGGAAGCGGGGTTTGAGCCGCCAGGAGCGGGTTTGAAACCGCCAGGCGTGTGGAAGGGCGTTGCTGCTATAGCAGGCGTGTGGAAGGGCGTTGTTGCGACAGCAGGTGTTTGGAACGGTGTGGACGTGTTAAAAGGGGCGTCAGTGCGGTGTGCGGCAGTGGGGGGAGGGGCGTCGGAGTCATCGACCACCTGAGCGCGCAGCATTTGCGACAGTCGCACGTACTCTCGCCTGCATGCGACACACACACACATGCACGCAACGCACGCACGACGCACACACACACGCGCATGCGCACGCACAGACGCGCACACACATGCGCAACCACATACGCACACAATCACAAAGACACACACGCCACACTCGCGCGCATACGCACACAAGACACACAAAACAGGAACCAGGAAACGGACTGACGTTGATTGCACTCAACGCGTCGACATAAACCGGCTCTGGAAGCACAGCCACAGCGGCACCCAGCACAATCATGCGTCGACTCAAAGCGACTAACGTTGAAGCAATTCAAGGCGTCGACATAGAACAGCCGGAAGCACAAGCATCGACTGGACGAGTCATTTCGACAGTAAGAAATTTGAGCATTTTTCTTGTCCTTTTTTTTTTTTAATGCCCAAACATCCCCCAGTGCACTCACATGGACAGGGGCTTTCCACCCACAAGCGAGTCGCCAGCACCAGCCGCCATGCCGTCAGCCAGGCTGAGCTCCGCCCTCTCGTCCTCCCCCCCGCGTGCAGGCTCCTCTTGCCGTTGCGATCCTAACGGACGTACCGAGAGAGGGAAAGAGAAGGCGAGAGGGTTAGACGTATTTGCCGGTAGGAGATTGGATTTGCAACCCGCTAATGGGGGTTTGGTTGACATAAGGCGAGGGCATCCAAAACCGCCCGACGGTTACGACCCAGGACCCAGAGAAACAGCAAATTAGGGTTTCGGTGGGGCGGAATGCGGGAATACGTAAGATCTACGCTACCTGACGGAAGGTTACAAGCTCGGGATTCGACAATGGGAAACACGACAGCGGTAGAATGCGCGGCCCGGATCGGTGGAAGGCGATTCCGCAATGGACGGCTGAAATAACCATACCTGCGTTGCCGCCGGCAGCGTCGCTCGCCTGATCGCCGCTCCGTCGCCAACCAATCATATTCAACACCGCACCACCAATTCCTCCCAGCCAGCCCTTCTTTTGCGAGCCTCCGTCTTTACTACCCGCCGGAGCAGCAGCACCAGCGGAGGCTGCAGCAGCGGCTGTAGCAGCAGCGGCGGCTAGTTGGCCGGCTGCAGCGTGTCTTCCCGTTGCCGGCCGGCTGTACGGCGTGTCGGCGCGCACTCCATATCGCCTGGATCTACCGAGCTTTCCGCCAGTTCCGCCTGTTCCCCCTAGTCCGCCTGTTCCCTCTGCTCCGTAAGGTGTTGACGCTCTATCAAAGAGATGCCCTGAGGAATCTGTCGCACGGAACGTCGCATCGTTCGTGAAGCTGGTCGGAAATGCGAATTCTGTGGCGTGCGACGAAGCCATAGCTCAGCACGCAGGACCTTCTGATTCACGACAAAAACACGCCTGTCGGTAGACAAGTTCAGAACAACCAATTAACAAGTTTAGGGCACCTGCGAACTAGAGACAGAGAAAGATCTCCTCCTCATCTGCTAATCCTACTCATCAGCACCCAGTCGCGAGACGCACCCAAACAGATCGAGCCATCTGAGTGGGTGGAAATGGACGAAGCAAAAGAAGTGGAGTGAAAGAGGTGGAGCCTGATAGATCGGGACGGGAAAATGACAGTGCAGTGCAAGCGCGTGATCCGACGCATTGGGCAAGCCGAGAGGGGAGGGAAGAAACGCGCAAAAATGGATGGGTCCGCTCAGCTCCGTTCCGCTCCGCTCCGCTCGGCTCTGCTTCCCTCAGCCTGCGCGGACTGACAGAACGGGCGCGCGGGATCACCCTGGAAATGCCAAGCCTGAACTTTTCACGTCCCAGAGGCCCCGCCTGACTTCGAGGTTTCGCCACGTCGCCGCGCCAAAAACCCAAAAGGTTTGAATGAGGTGAGGTGAAGGCTGAACCAGTATTTTTTTTGTGCATCAATGATTTTTTTCCGTACACTTATTCCAGATATTCCAAACCCTCTAGACAACATAAACGTAACATACACTACATTGTGCAGTATGCACAACAACAGAGCTTCGTCCCACCTGCAAATCCACATGGAACCAACATTTGGCTTGTTGCACCTATAATAATAGAGTTGAGGTAATGTCCTCAACTGATCACATATAGAACGTTTTACTTTTCAACAGTGATTCCTTCCTCTGCTTTAACTCATGTGATGGGATCGTACTCATGTGACATCCATGGGTGTAGAAGAGCTTCATCAGCTGTTGGTCTTTTATCAGGGTCCACCTGTAGCAGGGACGCCACGAACTCAAGGAAGCCCTCATCTCCCATGGGCAGCCGGTGCTTGAGAGAGGTCCTCTTGGGAATCAGATACTCCAGTGCGTCCGTCTCCTGTGGTGGCAGGAAGGACAAAGGGGAGATGGGGTGAGGAGGTGGGGGAAGAGAAAACGATTTCACGGCCATGAGTCATGGGCGGTGGGCGCATGGGAGAGGTCTTGCTGGGAATGAGGTACCGAGTGCTGTATGAGCGCAACGCATCCATGCGCCCGTCTCCTGTGAGGGACGGGGGACAGGGGAGGTGGAGGACCAAGGGAAGGTGGAGGTGGACCAAGGGACCACTTCACAATCACACCCAGCCAAATCCTGTTATAATCACACGAAAGAAACCCCCACCATAAGCATCAGCTAACCAGGTTGCGTTCATACAGCACGCGGGGTGAAAGAGCCCTCCAATGCCCACACAAATACCTGGGACAAACCCCACCGCCCCATGATGCTGAGCTCACTGGGTTCCTCTCATAGAACACGCGGTGCCGTGTGAAGTACTTGCGTACCTGAAGCAGATGATGAGCCCTCCTCTGCTAACACTCGGCGAGCGTCCCTGGCCCTGCGCAGGAGGGGAGGCCATCCATGGGCCCTACCGAAGGCCCACCACACACACACACCTGATACGAGCAACCCCCCATGAGTAGCAGCTCACCGGGTTGCGCTCATACAGCACGCGGTGGCGTGTGAAATACTTGTGGGCGTCCTTGGCTCTGCGCAGGAGAGAGGGGTCGATGGGGCCTATGAGGTGCCCACCACCCACACACACACCTGATACCATCAAACCCCCACCCCCCACTCGGCTCACCGGGTTGCGCTCATATAGCACGCGGTGCCGTGTGAAATACTTGTGGGCGTCCTTGGCTCTGCGCAGGAGGGAGGGGTCGATGGGGCCTATGATGCCCACCACCCGCGCCAGCAGCGTTGCCAGGGAGTCGTTTTGAAACAGCACCTGGTGGGGGAGGAGGGATAAGTGGGCGGGAGGGAGGGTGGGTGGGGAGGAGGTTGGGGGGGTGGATATTGAGCGAACCCAGAAGTCGCAGAGAGGTCAGGGGATCGGTCTGAAACAGAATTTGGCGGGGACGGAAGCATAGGTGGTATGCACAAAAGAGGGTGTTACTTAGTACGCTTCAGTGCATGCCTCCCTCTCCCTCCCTCTTCCTCCCTTCTTCTCCCTCCGTCCCACTCCCTTCCCTCCTCTCCCTCCCCTCCCCAGCCCTCCTCTCCCCTCCCTCGCATGGTCTCACCTGTCCAGAGTAGAGTTCCGCCAGAATGCACCCGAGCGACCACACATCGATCTTGGGCCCGTAAGGGAGCCCCAGGATGACTTCAGGTGCGCGGTACGAGCGCGACTGCACGTATGAGCACAGCGCATCCCACGTGAACCAGCAGCTACTGCTGCTGCTGGTGCTGCTGTTTCCATCTCCCCACTTCCTACCCTCCCTTCCTGCAAATTCCCTATTGCTCCCCCCCTTCCTCTTCCTGCCTTCCTCCCCCTCCCCTCCCCAACCCGCCTCTCACCTGTCCGGAACAGAGTTCCGCGAGAATGCATCCAAGCGACCACACGTCGATCTTGGGCCCGTAAGGGAGTCCCAGGATCACCTCAGGAGCCCAGTACGAGCGCGACTGCACGTACGCTTCCCAACCCTCCTCTCCCCTCCCTCTCACACCCTCACCTGTCCAGAACAGAGCTCAGCCAGAATGCACCCGAGCGACCACACGTCGATCTTGGGCCCATAAGGCAGCCCCAGAATGACCTCGGGCGCGCGGTACGAGCGCGGTCCTCTCTTTCTCTCACCCTATTCCTCCTCCCACACCCCTCTCACCTGTCCAGAGCAGAGCTCGGCCAAAATGCACCCCAGCGACCACACGTCGATCTTGGGCCCGTAAGGGAGTCCCAGGATCACCTCAGGCGCTCGGTACGAGCGCGACTGCACTTAGGAGCAGAGCGCGTCCCCTGTGAAGCAGCTGCTGACCCCACGGCCCGGCCCCCCTTTTCCCACCCTCCCTTCCCGCACTTTCCTTCCTGCCCCCCCTCTCCCGCTTCCTCTATTCCTCTCTCTCTCTCCCTTTCCCCTCCTTCTCACACCCTCACCTGTCCAGAGCAGAGCTCAGCGAGAATACATCCAAGCGACCACACGTCAATCTTGGGCCCGTAGGGCAGCCCCAGAATGACCTCCGGTGCTCGGTACGAGCGCGACTGCACGTAGGAGCACAGCGCGTCCCATGTGAAGCAGCTGCTGCCGATGTCGATCACTTTAACGAGGCAGCGCGAGTAGCTCTTAATGAGGATGTTCTCGGGCTTGAGGTCGCAGTGTATGAGCCCCAGCGAGTGCATGAAGCGCAGGGCCTTCAGGATTTGCTTGGCTATGGACTGGGAGGGGAAGGGGGGGCAGGGAGGGGAGGAGGGGTAGAGGTTGGGGCGCAGTGCAAGGCCCAAGGGTTGTGGAAAATGAGGATGTTCTTGGGCTTGAGGTGGCAGTGAATGAGGCCCAGCGAGTGCATCAAGGCCAGCGCTTGAAACGAGGGAGGACGTGTACAGCGAAGGGTCACAAATCTTCACCTGGATGCGAGGCATGGTGAAATAAACCTCTCCTCCCGACTCGCGGTTGTACTTGTGGAATTCGTACAGGCTGAGCTGGGGTGGCTGTTCAGGGCAAGCAGGGAATGAACTGCTGCGTCAACCCCACCAGACATTCACAGCAGACCACAACAGACACTCACACCCACCTGGATGCGCGGCATGGTGAAGTAGACCTCGCCTCACGACTCGCGGTTGTACTTGTGGAATTCGTACAGAGTTGGGTTGGGTTGGGACCACTGAAAAGGGGCACCAGGCAACCCCATGAGGCAACCCCACCCACCTGGATGCGCGGCATGGTGAAATAAACCTCGCCTCCCGACTCCCGGTTGTACTTGTGGAACTCGTACAGGTTGGCTCGTAGCAGCTCACATATTATCAACAGATGCTCCTGCGAGGGGGGGGAGAGATGGCGGGGTGATGAACGGGAAGGGAAAGGAGGAGAAAGATGGGGAGGTGGTCCAGGGAACTCGTACAGGTTGGCTCGGAGCAACTCGCACATTATGAACAGATGCTCCTGCCAGGGGGGAGAGAGGGGAGTTGCAGGGAGAAAAAGGGAGGAAAAGAGGGCAAAGGGGAGTTGTGAATGGGACTCGTACAGGTTGGCACGTAGCAGCTCGCATATTATGAACAGATGCTCCTGCGAGGGGGGAGAGGGAGCGAGAGATGGCGGGGAGGAGGAGGAAGATGGGGAGGGGCATCTAGAAGACTCTTATAGGTTGGCACGTAGCAGCTCGCATATTATAGACAGATGCTCCTGCGAGGGCAGGGGGTGGGACGAGGGGGGAGACGGGCGGGGGATGGGGAAGGGATTCAAAAGATTCTGAGATGCTGCTCTGAATGAAGCCCACCCCCACCCACACAAGCCCACCCTCCCCTTCCCACCCCACTTTTCGGTCCCCTTCCTCACACACACACACACTCACACACACACACACACACAAACACACACACATGCACACACACATGCACACACACATGCACACACACACGTGCAAGCACCCACGCACACACATGCACACACCCACGCACACACATATAAACACACACACATGCACACACACATGCACACACACATGCACACACACATGCACACACACATGCACACACACAAACACACACACATGCACACACACATGCACACACACATGCACACACACAAACACACACACATGCACACACACATGCACACACACAAACACACACACATGCACACACACATGCACACACACATGCACACACACATGCACACACACAAACACACACACATGCACACACACATGCACACACACATGCACACACACACACACATGCACACACCCACGCACACACATGCACACACCCACGCACACACATACTCTCCCTCCACTCACCCGGTGGTAGAAGTAATCATACATCCGCAGCAGACAGTGCTCGTCTGCCGGATCATGCTGATTGATGAACTTGAGAAGCTTGATCTCATCGAGACTCTGGTAAAAGAAGTCCTTGTTGTTCTTTATGATCCTCAAGCGGCAATCTCAACCCCAACCCACACATGCACAACCCCACCCACACAAACAGGCCCTCCCTTTCCCGCCCCACTTCCCTGCTGCCCTTCCTGACAATCACTCACTCACTCACTCACCCTCTCACACTCACACATACTCTTGTTTACTCACCCGGTGGTAGAAGTAATCATACATCCGCAGCAGGCAGTGCTCGTCCGCGGGATCATGCTGGTTAATAAACTTCAACAACTTAATCTCGTCCAGGCTTTGATCAAAGAAGTCTTTGTTGTTCTTTATGATCTTCATGCAAACGTCCATGCCCGTGTGCAGGTCGTGAGCCTGAATGGCCTTGCTAAACGCTGCTGCTCCGAGGTACTCTGTCACGTAGTATCGCCCCGCTATCACTGAGTTGAGCACCACTGGAAAGTCCTTGTCCTCCTCCAACCCGGTCCTGGTGGGGATGTGGTGGGGCGACACACAACACACGGAGGGGAAAGGAGCGTTTGGTCTTTATGCAATGGTGATTATCCAGACTGCTGGCCCCAGCCCAGGTACTCTGTCACGTAGTATCGCCCCGCTCCGCTATCACTGAGTTGAGGACCACTGGGAAGTCTTTGTCGTCCTCAAACCCTGTTCTGGTTGGGTCAACAGGCACGTAGGAGAGGGATAGAGGGAGGAGGGAAGGAGGGAGGCGGCAGGGAAAGCTGAATTGAGGACGACTGGGAAGTCCTCGTCCTCCTCGAACCCCGTTCTGGTGGGGATGTGGTGGGGCGACACACAACACAAGGAGGGAAAGGAGCGTTTGGTCTCTATGCAATACAGTCTGTATCCAGATGTATCCAGACCGCTGCCCCCAGGAACTCAGTCACGTAGTAGCGACCCGCTATCACGTAGTAGCGACCCGCTATCACGTAGTAGCGACCCGCTATCACGTAGTAGCGACCCGCTATCACGTAGTAGCGACCCGCTATCACGTAGTCGCGACCCGCTATCACGTAGTAGCGACCCGCTATCACGTAGTAGCGACCCGCTATCACGTAGTAGCGACCCGCTATCACGTAGTAGCGACCCGCTATCACGTAGTAGCGACCCGCTATCACGTAGTAGCGACCCGCTATCACGTAGTCGCGACCCGCTATCACGTAGTAGCGACCCGCTATCACGTAGTAGCGACCCGCTATCACGTAGTAGCGACCCGCTATCACGTAGTAGCGACCCGCTATCACGTAGTAGCGACCCGCTATCACGTAGTAGCGACCCGCTATCACGTAGTAGCGACCCGCTATCACGTAGTAGCGACCCGCTATCACGTAGTAGCGACCCGCTATCACGTAGTAGCGACCCGCTATCACGTAGTAGCGACCCGCTATCACGTAGTAGCGACCCGCTATCACGTAGTAGCGACCCGCTATCACGTAGTAGCGACCCGCTATCACGTAGTAGCGACCCGCTATCACGTAGTAGCGACCCGCTATCACGTAGTAGCGACCCGCTATCACGTAGTAGCGACCCGCTATCACGTAGTAGCGACCCGCTATCACGTAGTAGCGACCCGCTATCACGTAGTAGCGACCCGCTATCACGTAGTAGCGACCCGCTATCACGTAGTAGCGACCCGCTATCACGTAGTAGCGACCCGCTATCACGTAGTAGCGACCCGCTATCACGTAGTAGCGACCCGCTATCACGTAGTAGCGACCCGCTATCACGTAGTAGCGACCCGCTATCACGTAGTAGCGACCCGCTATCACGTAGTAGCGACCCGCTATCACGTAGTAGCGACCCGCTATCACGTAGTAGCGACCCGCTATCACGTAGTAGCGACCCGCTATCACGTAGTAGCGACCCGCTATCACGTAGTAGCGACCCGCTATCACGTAGTCGCGACCCGCTATCACGTAGTAGCGACCCGCTATCACGTAGTAGCGACCCGCTATCACGTAGTAGCGACCCGCTATCACGTAGTCGCGACCCGCTAATCACGTAGTAGCGACCCGCTATCACGTAGTAGCGACCCGCTATCACGTAGTAGCGACCCGCTATCACGTAGTAGCGACCCGCTATCACGTAGTAGCGACCCGCTATCACGTAGTAGCGACCCGCTATCACGTAGTAGCGACCCGCTATCACGTAGTAGCGACCCGCTATCACGTAGTAGCGACCCGCTATCACGTAGTAGCGACCCGCTATCACGTAGTAGCGACCCGCTATCACGTAGTAGCGACCCGCTATCACGTAGTAGCGACCCGCTATCACGTAGTCGCGACCCGCTATCACGTAGTAGCGACCCGCTATCACGTAGTAGCGACCCGCTATCACGTAGTAGCGACCCGCTATCACGTAGTCGCGACCCGCTATCACGTAGTAGCGACCCGTTATCACGTAGTAGCGACCCGCTATCACGTAGTAGCGACCCGCTATCACGTAGTAGCGACCCGCTATCACGTAGTAGCGACCCGCTATCACGTAGTAGCGACCCGCTATCACGTAGTAGCGACCCGCTATCACGTAGTAGCGACCCGCTATCACGTAGTAGCGACCCGCTATCACGTAGTAGCGACCCGCTATCACGTAGTAGCGACCCGCTATCACGTAGTAGCGACCCGCTATCACGTAGTAGCGACCCGCTATCACGTAGTAGCGACCCGCTATCACGTAGTAGCGACCCGCTATCACGTAGTAGCGACCCGCTATCACGTAGTAGCGACCCGCTATCACGTAGTAGCGACCCGCTATCACGTAGTAGCGACCCGCTATCACGTAGTAGCGACCCGCTATCACGTAGTAGCGACCCGCTATCACGTAGTAGCGACCCGCTATCACGTAGTAGCGACCCGCTATCACGTAGTAGCGACCCGCTATCACGTAGTAGCGACCCGCTATCACGTAGAAGCGACCCGCTATCACGTAGTAGCGACCCGCTATCACGTAGTAGCGACCCGCTATCACGTAGTAGCGACCCGCTATCACGTAGTAGCGACCCGCTATCACGTAGTCGCGACCCGCTATCACGTAGTAGCGACCCGCTATCACGTAGTAGCGACCCGCTATCACGTAGTAGCGACCCGCTATCACGTAGTCGCGACCCGCTATCACGTAGTAGCGACCCGCTATCACGTAGTAGCGACCCGCTCTCACGTAGTAGCGACCCGCTATCACGTAGTAGCGACCCGCTATCACGTAGTAGCGACCCGCTATCACGTAGTAGCGACCCGCTATCACGTAGTAGCGACCCGCTATCACGTAGTAGCGACCCGCTATCACGTAGTAGCGACCCGCTATCACGTAGTAGCGACCCGCTATCACGTAGTCGCGACCCGCTATCACGTAGTAGCGACCCGCTATCACGTAGTAGCGACCCGCTATCACGTAGTAGCGACCCGCTATCACGTAGTCGCGACCCGCTATCACGTAGTAGCGACCCGCTATCACGTAGTAGCGACCCGCTCTCACGTAGTAGCGACCCGCTATCACGTAGTAGCGACCCGCTATCACGTAGTAGCGACCCGCTATCACGTAGTAGCGACCCGCTATCACGTAGTAGCGACCCGCTATCACGTAGTAGCGACCCGCTATCACGTAGTAGCGACCCGCTATCACGTAGTAGCGACCCGCTATCACGTAGTAGCGACCCGCTATCACGTAGTAGCGACCCGCTATCACGTAGTAGCGACCCGCTATCACGTAGTAGCGACCCGCTATCACGTAGAAGCGACCCGCTATCACGTAGTAGCGACCCGCTATCACGTAGTAGCGACCCGCTATCACGTAGTAGCGACCCGCTATCACGTAGTAGCGACCCGCTATCACGTAGTAGCGACCCGCTATCACGTAGTAGCGACCCGCTATCACGTAGTCGCGACCCGCTATCACGTAGTAGCGACCCGCTATCACGTAGTAGCGACCCGCTATCACGTAGTAGCGACCCGCTATCACGTAGTCGCGACCCGCTATCACGTAGTAGCGACCCGCTATCACGTAGTAGCGACCCGCTATCACGTAGTAGCGACCCGCTATCACGTAGTCGCGACCCGCTATCACGTAGTAGCGACCCGCTATCACGTAGTAGCGACCCGCTATCACGTAGTAGCGACCCGCTCTCACGTAGTAGCGACCCGCTATCACGTAGTAGCGACCCGCTATCACGTAGTAGCGACCCGCTATCACGTAGTAGCGACCCGCTATCACGTAGTAGCGACCCGCTATCACGTAGTAGCGACCCGCTATCACGTAGTAGCGACCCGCTATCACGTAGTAGCGACCCGCTATCACGTAGTAGCGACCCGCTATCACGTAGTAGCGACCCGCTATCACGTAGTAGCGACCCGCTATCACGTAGTAGCGACCCGCTATCACGTAGTAGCGACCCGCTATCACGTAGTAGCGACCCGCTATCACGTAGTAGCGACCCGCTATCACGTAGTCGCGACCCGCTATCACGTAGTAGCGACCCGCTATCACGTAGTAGCGACCCGCTATCACGTAGTAGCGACCCGCTATCACGTAGTCGCGACCCGCTATCACGTAGTAGCGACCCGCTATCACGTAGTAGCGACCTGCTCTCACGTAGTAGCGACCCGCTATCACGTAGTAGCGACCCGCTATCACGTAGTAGCGACCCGCTATCACGTAGTAGCGACCCGCTATCACGTAGTAGCGACCCGCTATCACGTAGTAGCGACCCGCTCTCACGTAGTAGCGACCCGCTATCACGTAGTAGCGACCCGCTATCACGTAGTAGCGACCCGCTATCACGTAGTAGCGACCCGCTATCACGTAGTAGCGACCCGCTATCACGTAGTAGCGACCCGCTATCACGTAGTAGCGACCCGCTATCACGTAGTAGCGACCCGCTATCACGTAGTAGCGACCCGCTATCACGTAGTAGCGACCCGCTATCACGTAGTAGCGACCCGCTATCACGTAGTAGCGACCCGCTATCACGTAGTCGCGACCCGCTATCACGTAGTAGCGACCCGCTATCACGTAGTAGCGACCCGCTATCACGTAGTAGCGACCCGCTATCACGTAGTCGCGACCCGCTATCACGTAGTAGCGACCCGCTATCACGTAGTAGCGACCCGCTATCACGTAGTAGCGACCCGCTATCACGTAGTAGCGACCCGCTATCACGTAGTAGCGACCCGCTATCACGTAGTAGCGACCCGCTATCACGTAGTAGCGACCCGCTATCACGTAGTAGCGACCCGCTATCACGTAGTAGCGACCCGCTATCACGTAGTAGCGACCCGCTATCACGTAGTAGCGACCCGCTATCACGTAGTAGCGACCCGCTATCACGTAGTAGCGACCCGCTATCACGTAGTAGCGACCCGCTCTCACGTAGTAGCGACCCGCTATCACGTAGTAGCGACCCGCTATCACGTAGTAGCGACCCGCTATCACGTAGTAGCGACCCGCTATCACGTAGTAGCGACCCGCTATCACGTAGAAGCGACCCGCTATCACGTAGTAGCGACCCGCTATCACGTAGTAGCGACCCGCTATCACGTAGTAGCGACCCGCTATCACGTAGTAGCGACCCGCTATCACGTAGTAGCGACCCGCTATCACGTAGTAGCGACCCGCTATCACGTAGTCGCGACCCGCTATCACGTAGTAGCGACCCGCTATCACGTAGTAGCGACCCGCTATCACGTAGTAGCGACCCGCTATCACGTAGTCGCGACCCGCTATCACGTAGTCCTCCTCGAATCGAACCCCGTTCTGGTGGGGATGTGGGGAGCGAAAGAGGGAGGGGAGGAGAGAGAAAGGGGGAATTTTTGGCACACTGAGAAGTCTTCCTCTCTTTGAAATCAGTTCTGCAGAGGAGGGGTGGAGAGAAGGAGGGCGGAGGAAGGCGAAGGAGGGGTGGGGGTGAGGGGAGGAGTGAGGGAATAAGTATTGCTTTGAATAAACGCAGAATGACGATTGAGTCGACTCAAAGAGATTCTCACCTGTTCTTTCTATGAATGACTCTCAAATCGAACGACTTTTGAGACGACTCAAAGAGCTTCTCACCTGTTCTTTCTATGGATGACTCTCAAATTGAACGTCTCAAACTCCTCCTCCTCTTTTGCTTTCCCTTCCTCCTTCCCCTTCCCCTCCTCTTTATCCACTACTGCTGCTGCCTGCTCCCCACTCTTTGCCCTCTTCTCAGCACCCCCTGCCCCGTCTCCTCCTTCCTTCCCCACAGCCTTTCCTCTCCCTGCTTCTCCTCCACTCGCTTCATCCTGCTTCTTCTCTTCCTCTCCCCCTCCCACCTCTCCCCCCCCCATTCCCCCCACCCCTCCCACCTCCCCCAACTCCCCCACTTCAACCGACTCAACCGAAAGCCTCGACCGCCTATCCCCAACCACACTATTCCGCGCACTCCCCCCCTCACTCCCCGCCCCACTCCTCCCCTCCCCTCCTCCCCCACCCCCCACACTCCCCTTTTCCGCAAAATCCCAGTTCCCCGAAGCAGTCTGGGCAAGCTTCGGGAAGGTCCCACTGGCCTGCTTCTTCCAAACCTCGAGAGTGCTATCCGCCACGCTCCCCATTCTCTCTAGCTCGTGCTCTAGCTCCTGCTCCCCCATGCCTGCTGCTCCGCTGCTGCCCAGAGACGGGGGGGTTAACCCCTCCCCCAGCCCCGACCACCCGGAGTTACCCCGCGAAAGCCCCTCATTACTCGAGGACGAGTGGAACGAAAAGCCCCCCCCCTCCCCATCGTGCCCAAACCCGCCTCCCTCATCCCTCCCTCCCCTGTCTCCGCCCCCCCCAAAACCTCCAAAATCCTCCCCGAAACCACTTTCCTCACCCTCCCCGCCTTGCTCGTCACCCCTCCGCCCCTCCGCTGCACCCCCCCCTGCCCCGCCCCCACTCCCCCTCGCCCCGCCTCCCACAATCACATTCTGTAACAGCACACCCCTGCCACCCTTCCTATCAGCACTCTTAGAGGCACCACCACCTTCCACGCCACCAGCATCACTGGTCCTCGTATCAATCAAATCCACAGCACTTCCTCCCTCCATCGACTTTTGAGGCGCCTCAAAAGAGGCACCACCATCCACGCCACCAGCGCCACTGGTCTTCGTATCAATCAAATCCACAATTAGATCCACAGCACTTCCTCCTTCCTCCGACTTTTGAGGCGCCTCAAAAGAGGCACCACCATCCAGCCCACCACCATCCAGGCTACCCGCTTCACTGGTCCTCGTATCAATCAGATCCACAATGAGATCAACACCACTTCCTCCCTCCACCACCTCTGACTTTTGAGTCGACTCAAAAGTCAGCCCATCCAGGCCACCAGCACCACTGGTCCTCGTACCAATCAAATTCCGAATGAGATCCACAGCACTTCCTTCCTCCATCGCTTCTGCCCCATCGTTCACCTTCTCCCCCTCACTACCTCGCTCTTTCTCCCCCCCTTCAACACCCACTACCCCCCCTGCAACGCCTGCTGCCCCGCTCCCTGATTCCGCCCCCTCCCCAACCCCACTACCCTTCTGCACCGCTTCAGAAGTCATTTTCACCTCGTTTTCTGCCTTGCCGCGGCTGCTCCCCTCCATTGCCTCACGAACCGACAGGTCTTTATCCAATGCACTGCCCTCTCCCGCACTCTTACCCGCTGATACCTTGCTGCTGCTTTCCTTCCCACCATCCACAGCACTCCCCTCTCCCGCACTCTTACCCACCAATTCCTTGCTGCTGCTGCTCCCCTTCTCATCCTTTAATGCACTCGCCCCTTCACCCTTACCCACTGCAACCTTACTACTGCTCCCCTTCTCGTCATCTGTCTCCGAGTCTAACTCATACAATAAGAACCTCTCCTCGTCCTCCACTAGTCTCCTCACATACCCCACGTCCTCCTCCTCCTCATACGCGTCAGAGTCCGACCCACTACCCTCTAACAGCAGCATCTCGCTATAATCCACCCCCGGCCCGCGCTCCCCCGCGTCTGACTCAGCAGCTGCTGACGTGGACCTGGTTACCACCGACGCTGACCCGTCCGCCGTCCCCGAACGAGACAGCACAGGCCCGGACCCTCCGCTTCCTCCCAACCCTCCCCTGGGCGATTTTCGAGTCAGCTCAAGAGGAGAGCTTCGGGTCAGCTCCTGAGAAAAGCCCCCCAATACATTCCCTGACCCCCCTGCTCCTGCCAACGCTCCCCGAGGGGAATGCCTAGTCAACTCAAGCGTCCCCGCCACGTTCCCTGACCCGCCCCCTCCTGCCAACGCCCCCCGAGGGGAGTGTCTGATCGACTCAAGCGTTCTAGCCACGTTCCCTGACCCGCCCCCTCCTGCTAACGCGCCGGCACCATGCGGGTGCCTTATACCGAATTTCTCTGACAGCACCTGTGAGCCCACGACGACGGGGCCGATTGTGATTGTAGGGAGGGGCGAGGAGGGCGCGGAGGAGGGTGCAGAGGACCCCACGGGGCTGCGCTCCCCTGATGCCTGCCGCTGATGGTGCCCTGCTCCCTGCTGCCCGGTCTGCTGCCCCTGCTGCTGTGGTGGTGCGACCACGGGGGCGATTGTGATGGTAGGGAGGGGCGAGGAGGGTGCAGAGGACCCCACGGGGCTGCGCTCCCCTGATGCCTGCCGCTCGTGGTGCGCCGCCCCCTGCTGCCCCGCCCCTAACTGCCCCTGCTGCTGCGGTGTTGTGACCACTTGTGCCAATGCTTGCGCTTCCCCCATCCCCCCCACATCAGGTACCGCGGCAAACTCAAGCACCTCTGCACCCACACCCACCTCTCCCAACCCCCCCACACCTTCGAACTCGTTTCCCGCGCTCCCTCTTGCACTGCCCCCGCTGTCCTTCGCGCTTCCCCCTGCGCCCCAGTCACTTCCCCCGCCGTCCCTCTCCCCGCCCCCTCTGCTCTCCCGCAGGGAGCCAATCCCAAAGTCCAGCGACGCGACCAGGTTCACCCCGTCGCGGCTCTCTGCACTGAGGCGAATCGGCTTCAAACGGGGAAAACCGCTGTCTAACGCGGACGCGACTGGGGGGGCGTTAGGAGGGGAAGGTGCTATATCCAGTACCGGAGCAGCTTTAGTAGGGGATTCGGTTAAGCCAAGAATAGGGTCTGCAACGAGGAGAGGAACGAGAGGAACGAGATTGCAGATCTCTGCTTCCTGCCCTCCCGTCACACTGAAATTCCGATCCGACGGCGCTGATGACGCCAAACCTGCCACTGCCGAACCTGCCGCTGCCGAGCCTGATGCTACCGAACTTAATGCCGACGAGCCTGCTGCCGAACCTGGCCTATTTGGTTCCGCAAGAGCGGCGGCGAGCAGTGACGCGTCCTCCTCGTGAACCACGTCCAGGGACCGGGGGGACGGCAGGGAGGTGGGGGACGGCAGGGACGGGGATCTCGGGAAATACGCCGCGGAAAACGGATGCTCGCTCTTAGGAGGAGGTGCTCCCGAGGAAGAGAGAGAAGAGAGGATTTGCGGCGGCTGACGCGGAGAGCGGCCCGGCGGAGTGGCGGAGGGGGATTGCGTGGGGGGAGTGGCGGAGGGGGATTGGGACAAGGGGGGAGTGGCGGAGGGGGATTGCGCCATGGGGGGAGAGTGCGCCGGCGACCACGGCAGGCCGGCGTGCTCCAAAAACTGTGACGGCGCCGTGTTGCTGCGCGCGATCGCGTTGAATCCCGCGAATCCCGCAAACCCGCCGCCGTTTCCGCCGCTGATTCCCCCGCCGGTCCCGCCTCCGCTGCTGGCGCCGCCTCCTGCCCCGGAAAACCCGGAGCCGCCATTAAACATTTGGTCCTGCTTCATCCAGAGGAAGAGATTAACGTCCATATCCGACGGGTCCGGCGGAGGGCGGGAGGAGGCGGCGGCGGCGGAGGCGGAGGAGGCGGCGGGAGGAGATGACTGCTGAAACTTGTGAGAAGGAAACTTCTGCGAAGGACGTTTCTGCGACGCCTGCTTCTGCGACATTTCGAGTCGCAGCGCCTCCGCGGCCTTGTGGAGGTTGTTGCGCTCTAGGTATTCCACGATGGCGCCTAACGTGTCGCCCATGGCGGACGGCGGACGGCGGACGGCGGATGGCGGAAGGCGTAAGGGGGATGGCGGATGGCGGAAGGCGTAAGGGGGATGGCGGATGGCGGAGGGCGGATGGTAGATCCCGCGCTGAGCGCGGCACTGAGAAATGCGACGACCCGCAGAGCTGCTACGCGTGGAGACGCTACGCGCAAAGCTGCTACGCACAGAGATGCTACACGCTGTACCCTATCCTTCTTCGCCTGACGGTGTCGACGACATTACAAGCAGCAGTAATCAGTCAATAATGCTCACGGATGCTCATGATGAAATGTGGACTAACGTGGTGTCAGGACAGATGATCCTAATCTCCATCCCTGCCTTCGTACAGCGCTTACGAGGTAGCCCTAACCCAGAAACTGCAGACTCCATGAAATATCGTCGACGCATCGCAAAGTTCTAGAGACATTGAACTCACCACACACCATGCCACCGTAGCAGACGTGATCTGCTAGTTATTCAGAGGTAAAAGCAGGAAAATAGCAGTATTCTAGTGATTTTTGGTGGCTGAAGTTGCAGGTGGAACTTCAGCCATAGTACAGTCGAAAACCTCACTGAAACTTGGCTGAAGTTGCAGGTGAATGCTGACAATGGAGCTGGAGAGTTCCAAACTCCGTAGTTTCAGTGAGGTTTTCGACTGTATCATGAGTTTCAATACGATATAGTACGGTGGCGATAGGTTGCCGTCCGAACAGATTGACGGATCATGATGCGATGGATGTGCCACACCCTGACACCTCGTAACCAGGCCTGTTGAAGTCCCTGGGACCAAAACTTTGAGTCCTGCTGCTCGAATTCAGGCCCTGATTTTCACGGGCGCAGTCCAAATTAATAACTTGAAATCAGGGCTTATTAGGAAAGTGTGCTTGTTTCTGATGTAACACAGGAGGATGTTTTATCATACTTAGCAGTAAAAATGTACATACGAACTACTCATCCACACACCTACAGCCTCTACATCGTAGGCAAAAGCACCATAGGAAAAATCATCGGGGAGTGGGGGTATGGGGGGGGAGGCTGGGGGAATTTGGGGGGGTGTGTCCTTCGAAACAGAAACCGAAGCTTTGATTCAGGGGAAGGCCCAAACGAGGCCCGTAACGGTCACGGGTGCCATGCGGATCTAACACTTTAAATGGTCGAGATGCTCGAAACGTAAGCCGGAATGTTCAGGGAATTAAGGGCGAATGCCCTTGCTTCTACAGCCCTGCTCGTAACTGTCAGATTCAGAGCCCTAGGCGTATCGCCGCCGCACGTCTGACACTCTCCTCTTGGCAAATATATTTGAACCGTGCTGCAGCTTGTAACGCGGAAAAAACATATCCCAAGGGTTGATCGGCTAGTCGGCTTATTTATATCCTACGTGATGTCCAATCTACTCCATGTGATCATCAATCTTGCAGTACAAAAGATAATTCTAGGAATCTCTGCATACCATGTCCTCCAATTTGACAGAGCCGAAGGACATCTGTTAGCGTGCACAACAATTATCCATTATCCATATGCCTCAGTCCGCAACCAGTCCTCTAGAGGACTAGTCATTTCTTTGTCCCAAACTTGCCTAAGTTTCAGACATTTACCATACATGTACCTTGCATCTACAAGCAGCCTAGGCCTTGGGTGCAGTAACGACTCCATGTGACATCCCCCTTCCAGCCTTTGACTTGAGACCCAGTGCTTTCGCCTGAACGCCTTTATCCTTGCTTCCGACCGCACCATTGCACAACCCATGGCTGCCATTCTTGTTGTGCCCACTCTTCTCTGAGTGCTGCTGCTGCTGCGGCTGCTGTGACTGCTGCTGCTGCAGCTGCTGCGGCTGCTGGTGCTGCATTAGCTGCTGCTGGCGCTGCTGCTGCTGCGCTGACACCGCCTGCTGCTGCGCGTTGCAGAGGTGGCGGCAGGAGAGGAAGAAGAGCAGCGAGTGGTACCCCACCAGTGCCATCACTGCATACCCCTCCCACCACCGCGACCACACCAGCAGCAGCAGCACCTGCGATGCCTGGTGTGCATGTGAGGATCGAGGGTAAAAGAATTTGGATTTAGAAGGTGTTGGACAACGGCATTAGCACTAGAATAAGCATTAACATTGGTGCCAGCCTTGGGACGCAGGAGACTGGGTGGAGGCACAGAGGGACGAGCAGCACAGAAAGCAACAGAACAACACAAGGGCCGGAGTAACCACCAGTCGGTCATACACAAGTAAAGGACAGGGAAGAGCGACCATAGGCTGGCGGCAGGGAGAGTGCGGAATGACAGGCTGGATAAGCATAGAACTTAAAAGTGAAGCCAAAAAAAAAAAACAAAAAACAAAAAACAAAAAAAAACAAGAGGCGACGAAATCGTCTTAGGGTTGCGGAGCTTTCGGAACTAATGCATACTTACTATTGGGTGTCTACGTTCATGTGGACTAACTTTGAGATATTATTTAATTATTTGTACTATAAAATAAATGATAGCCGGTGATGGCAGTGAGGATTGGTGTCTAATATTGGGGGAAGGCTACTTATTGTAGGGTGCAAATTATGAATTCTAATTTTAAAAAAAAGTCTAACACAAAAATCTGTAGTGTAACTAAACTAAATAATGTACCAAGGCAGAACTGGCCACAACCTTATGATCAGTACCAGGAATCAATCTCCAGACCTTCTGCATAAATGGCGTAAGGAGAACCGTTCTGCTAAACTAGCTGCTGCATAAAAACTTTTGTATTTATGTGACATCTACAAACTCGACAATAAACAAACCTGGTTAGGGTTTCTCAATCTCTTTTCTCTCTGGTGTCATCCCGCTGCTCCAATCGTCACGCTGCTCTAACTTCTGCTCTTCCTACTCCCACAGCTCCTAGTTTCGCCTTCTCTCAGGTGAGCCTTAATCACTATCTATAGACTTCCTAAGTTCCTAATGTCCAATAACATAGTCGATTCACATGCCTCCGCACTCTTGCCTTCTCCGCCGCTGTCTTCATTTCCGCTTCTTGCGCAAGCCTTTAGCCGATCTCCACTCGCGCTTGTCATTTTAACCATGATAGAGGTATTTCTACTTCCCTTGTATTCTACTTGCCTTCCTATATTTTCCGCCACTTCTTTTCTCGTCATGTCTTTCTGTTTTTCCTACCGTACTATCCTCAATCTCTTCGTTCTCCTTCCTTTCTTCTCAATAGTGAACTATTGTGCTAATTATTCTTCGTGTTTAACGCTGTGAAAGTTCTACGAGGTCTTAAAAGAACAATTCAATCAAAGATAGTCTCAGACTTACGGTAACTATGAATATATTACAGGTTTTTTTCTATTATATGTTGACATTCAATGAGTTGAAGATGAAGTTTTCAGCTTATAACTTCTAAGTACCCGTAGTTGTTTCTTAATTTATGTTTCTTTTACCATTTTATTACCCGTTCATTTTTTCCTTGTTTACCTTCCTTTCTTCCTTCCTTCTGGTTTACCTTTCTTCCTTCCTTCTGGTTTACCTTTCTTCCTTCCTTCTGGTTTACCTTTCTTCCTTCCTTCTGGTTTACCTTTCTTCCTTCCTTCTGGTTTACCTTTCTTCCTTCCTTCTGGTTTACCTTTCTTCCTTCCTTCTGGTTTACCTTTCTTCCTTCCTTCTGGTTTACCTTTCTTCCTTCCTTCTGGTTTACCTTTCTTCCTTCCTTCTGGTTTACCTTTCTTCCTTCCTTCTGGTTTACCTTTCTTCCTTCCTTCTGGTTTACCTTTCTTCCTTCCTTCTGGTTTACCTTTCTTCCTTCCTTCTGGTTTACCTTTCTTCCTTCCTTCTGGTTTACCTTTCTTCCTTCCTTCTGGTTTACCTTTCTTCCTTCCTTCTGGTTTACCTTTCTTCCTTCCTTCTGGTTTACCTTTCTTCCTTCCTTCTGGTTTACCTTTCTTCCTTCCTTCTGGTTTACCTTTCTTCCTTCCTTCTGGTTTACCTTTCTTCCTTCCTTCTGGTTTACCTTTCTTCCTTCCTTCTGGTTTACCTTTCTTCCTTCCTTCTGGTTTACCTTTCTTCCTTCCTTCTGGTTTACCTTTCTTCCTTCCTTCTGGTTTACCTTTCTTCCTTCCTTCTGGTTTACCTTTCTTCCTTCCTTCTGGTTTACCTTTCTTCCTTCCTTCTGGTTTACCTTTCTTCCTTCCTTCTGGTTTACCTTTCTTCCTTCCTTCTGGTTTACCTTTCTTCCTTCCTTCTGGTTTACCTTTCTTCCTTCCTTCTGGTTTACCTTTCTTCCTTCCTTCTGGTTTACCTTTCTTCCTTCCTTCTGGTTTACCTTTCTTCCTTCCTTCTGGTTTACCTTTCTTCCTTCCTTCTGGTTTACCTTTCTTCCTTCCTTCTGGTTTACCTTTCTTCCTTCCTTCTGGTTTACCTTTCTTCCTTCCTTCTGGTTTACCTTTCTTCCTTCCTTCTGGTTTACCTTTCTTCCTTCCTTCTGGTTTACCTTTCTTCCTTCCTTCTGGTTTACCTTTCTTCCTTCCTTCTGGTTTACCTTTCTTCCTTCCTTCTGGTTTACCTTTCTTCCTTCCTTCTGGTTTACCTTTCTTCCTTCCTTCTGGTTTACCTTTCTTCCTTCCTTCTGGTTTACCTTTCTTCCTTCCTTCTGGTTTACCTTTCTTCCTTCCTTCTGGTTTACCTTTCTTCCTTCCTTCTGGTTTACCTTTCTTCTTCCTTCTGGTTTACCTTTCTTCCTTCCTTCTGGTTTACCTTTCTTCCTTCCTTCTGGTTTACCTTTCTTCCTTCCTTCTGGTTTACCTTTCTTCCTTCCTTCTGGTTTACCTTTCTTCCTTCCTTCTGGTTTACCTTTCTTCCTTCCTTCTGGTTTACCTTTCTTCCTTCCTTCTGGTTTACCTTTCTTCCTTCCTTCTGGTTTACCGTTTCTTCCTTCCTTCTGGTTTACCTTTCTTCCTTCCTTCTGGTTTACCTTTCTTCCTTCCTTCTGGTTTACCTTTCTTCCTTCCTTCTGGTTTACCTTTCTTCCTTCCTTCTGGTTTACCTTT